ATCATATGCTCAAAAAAGGTTCCACAGAGAACCCTCCACCAGAGTTTACTGGTTAATATTAATGAAGTATGCACAGAAATAAATATAATTGTTATGATATCCATACTTTCTTTATTCTCCATTCCCAGAATGATAGCTTGGGAAGCACCAATAGAACCTTCATTTCCCTGGACCTGTTGAAATAGGAGTTTACTCCCTAAGGGTAAGGGGGCAAGCAACCCTCCTGGATTATCTCAAACCAGGTGACTCAAATGTGCTCACAGCAAGTGTGATTACTTTCCATATGGCATCAAGTTTTGCTCTTGGTCTAATTATTCACCAAGTAGTACTACCATATATTCTACTAGGCTCATCAACCATTTCTGCTTGTCTTTTCCATTTTCTACCAAGCTCAATGAATATTTCCACTAGGTATTACCATGTCTCCCAGGTTCATGGTCTCTACTAAGCACCACTTCTATATCCTTTGGGCACTGTCACACCCACAGGCACTGCTGACTTTCCCAGACTCTACTGCTGCTTCTCTGGTAATATCCTAGGTGGCATCTATCAAGTAACAGTGGTACTTCTCCAGATGATACCTGTCTGAGACTGCTGTCATTCCTCCAGCAGCCACAAAATTCTTTCTCCAGCTGCTGCCACCTCTGAAGTTGCTGTTGCTGACATGAACACTGATGCACTGGAATCCTGAAGCCGCTCCTATGGAAAACGGTGAGTTCTGGCTCCATTACCATGGTACATTTGTTCCTTTGGAGCTATGCTACCTAAATATGGAAAAACAGGGTTAGAATACCAATGAAAGATGACAATTGGAAATGTATATTTGAAAATCATCCAAACACACATGATAATTACAGCTACAAATGTATAAGTTCCTCAAATATTTAAAAACAAACAGGACTAAAGACAAAGCCTGAATAGAACCAAGCAGAAAGAAGGGATGGCTGAGACATAGAAACCTCCGAGTATAGCATCCTAGAAGATGAAGCTTTAATCCTAACTGTGGGTGATGAGTTGTTCCTCTGTCTTCTACAATGATATAATTAAAAACAGTAACATATTGTGAGGAAAGCACTCTAGACTGGTGGTCAGGAAATCTGGACTCTAACTCAACTTAGTAAACTTGCTTTGTAGTCCTTGGGTGAATCAGTTCCCCTCTTTGGATCTCAGTTTCCTCATCAAAAAGAATGTTGGTCCAGACAATTCAGTTCTTTCAACTGTATGATTTTATGAATTACATATAGGAAGTTAAAAATGTTTGCAGTTCATAGCCACTCACACTCTTCCTCTAATATTCCCACAGTCCTGTCACAGATGTTTAGTGACCTTAGAAAAAATAGGAGACATTGGACATGGACATACCTGCCTAGAAAAAATATACCACTTCAAAAGTCAAAATTTCCTGGTGTTCACTACAGACTGTTTGCTATAATTTTATGAAAGCTTCCAGATTTTTGTTAAATGGAAAATACTTATATGAGCTATGAAAATCTGGATACCTGTAATAAATTACAAGATAAATTACAGAAGTATCCCTCTTATAAAAAATTACTTCTGAACTCTTAATATTTATATTTATGATTTCCTACAAATATTTTTCCTTTTTATATGTAAGAAAAGTGAAGATTTCCTTAACCTGCTACTAAATAACTTTATAATTACTATTTCATAGAGGATTTACAATCTCACATCTTTAGATAATGCTACTGTCTTATTCTGTTTTGCATTCTAATTCATTCATGTTTGTGCAAGTATTAAGTAGATATAGTCCAGGCGCTTGTGTACAATGAGCAAAGAATTCCCCAGTGTATACCTAGTAGCATTGGGCAAACAGTCACATTCATTGAAGATCATGGAAAGTTGTGCTCAGGGCAAGTTCTTGTCAACAAAAGATATGGCACAGACAGAAAAATAGTGCCAGTATGACAGAAAAGCAAAAGCACTGCACATGGGTCATAGCACACTGAAGTAACAACAGCAACCTCCAATAAATCAGCCTTTTGGAATTTAAAAGAGATGTACCTCAGCCCAGGTGCCTCCCCCTGAATCTGTAGGTGTGATTGACAGGGTGCTGTGCCATTTCAGGGGCTCATAACACACATGCTTGTCCCAGAATTCACTCTGACTTTAATTATGTTCATGAGATGTAGTATATACTGATGAGTCATTAATGATGTGGGAGTAAGGAAGGGTGACTGGAAGGCCAACCTAGGAGATCAAACAAGCCTGTGCTCTAGCCTACAGCATCAGAGATCTAAGTTTTTGTTATTTTATTTTCTACCCCTCTTAAGGCAAAGGAAGGAGGAATGGCTGTAGGGTTCTGTTTAAAGTTAAATGGATGGGGCTGGGGATTTAGCTCAGTGGTTCTAGTGTCTGCCTTGAAAGCACAGGGTCCCGAGTTCAATCCCCGGTACCAAAAAAAAGACTTTAGAAAATTAAATGGATGGAGGGCAGGGGATTTAGCTCAGTGGTTCCACCACCTGCTCCGCAAGCACAAGGACCAGAGTTTGATACCTGGTAGCAAAAAAAAAAAAGGATGGAAGGGAGTGACCTCCTCAACTCCATTGTTTCTAACTGTACTACAAGATTTTTTTTAAAAAAGCTGTTATGCCAAGAAAGAACAATCTGGTGTTGTTAACAGTACTAATTTTAAAATATCTTATTAATGTAGTCTCTCCTTTAGTCTAATTTTCATTGTACTAACCACAAAAAAGGAGGACTGGTCCCACTGTACGGAATTGTAGGCAATTTTCACAGAGTGATTTTCCTTACTACCAAACTCAGATTAGGTTGAAATACAAAGCCTCTTAAAATTTCCCTACATATTTTTTGACAACTTTATTTATAATTCCATACAATGAACTAGACATGATTTAAGTCTAGTTAAATTTTCACGATTTGAAAAGTTTTGACATATATACATCAATGAAACCATGACTTATAAACATGAAAATGAACATATCCATCACACCTGAAGCTAGTTTTCTCTCAATAAACTTTTCCTGCTCTTAACCTCTTTTATCCTTGAATCCATTCTTCAATATCAGGAGACATGACCTTGGCACACCTGATTTCTAACAGGTTAGGAGGTACTACACTGTTGTGACAAATAGCAGAGGAACGAGACCACCTGAGCAGGCAAGTGGAAGGCAGCAAGGCACAGACTTCATTCACCTGGGTGCAGGCTGACTGAGGGCGACAAAGCTGTCAGTGGTGAACAAAAAGGCAGGGAGTTTTATAGGGGATTGGGAAGAGGTCTGTTAAGTACAGGGGTCTGAATGAATATTTGTGGTCGGGGTCCAGGCAGTGGTCAGGGCAGATGTATGGATGTTATCAGGTAACTTGGCATTGGGAAGATGTTGCATTGTACTCTGTAGTCTTATCTCTTTTCTATAACATCCCATTCTGCATTCTGTCTGTCCGGAGATAGCACAGCCTGTATCTGGTTTTCAGCTACCTGAAGAAGCAGCGTGTTTCTGCTGAGCACTGTACTGGTTGTCAGGGAGACATTGGTGCACAGGCTGATGAAGTCTTATCATCTTAACTAAGGCAGTTTAAAATGAGTTTAAAGCACAGGCTCAGGTTTCAGTGTGGCTCTGCCCCTTACTTGTTTGATCTTGAAAAAATTAATTGACTTTTCTAAGCCTGTCTTTTCACTGGTAAAATGAAGTTATTAATATCCACCTCACAAAATTGCTGTGAAGATTAAATAATAATAATAATAATAAAAAACCTTCAAATTATTATAGGCAGCCAAATTAAATAGAAATTAATATACAGTCAGTGACGGGACACTCAAAGAAGTCAGTGGAAAAATAAAGACATCAGAATTGTGGCTGGAGGCGCATCTGAAGAAGACCAGGCCTCAAGATAGAGATGCAATAGCCAGGCCTACATGCCTCCTAAGGGATAAACAATAACTTGAGATTATAAGGTAAGTACCACCACTTGGCCCAGTAGGTCCAGATAGGCATCAGTCTCCCAGTTGGGTGAACAGAATGCCTGGACCCATCCCTTCTCCAAAATGTCTTTGTTCTTTCCATGTACCCTTGCTACATTTCCCTATTTGATCAATATTAGCTAAGCAGCTATACTTGTAATCCTATAGGTTGATCCATGTTGTACCCACATTGTGACTTTGTAGTATAAATTACCCCTGACAAAGGGCCTCAGTGGCCACCCCACTTGGGACCTCTCCTGAAAATCCAGGAGCTATTCTCTTCTTATTTCCAATAAAACTCTCCAAACTTCTTCCTTTGGTTCTCAATTTCGTTCCTCGATGTTTTCAGACCATGAACTCGGCCCATTAGACATCTAACAGTTTGGGAGTTATATTTTCCCTATATCAAAATGATCTGTAAAAGGTGCCTATGGGTATCCAAACATTAAGAAGTTTAATTTAGGAATTTGGTTTAGCTGCTAATCATGGAGACAATAGTATCAGCCATGTTATCTTGGTTTAAATCTTTGCTCTGCTATCTTGAGGCTGTGTAACGTTGAGTAAACTACTTAAGTAAGTCCAGTACCTGTAAAATGTTTCAGTGCAGTGCTTGGAACAAGACAGATGCTTAACAGCAATTATTGCCTAAAATGTCCTGAAAAGCAATGACATCGCCAACACGTGTACATAATAGCTATCATTTATTAAAGCTTACCATTTGGGACTCTGTGCTAGCCACTTTTCAAATTCTCTTTTATACTTAGCAACCCAGCTAGGTAACCATCCCATCCTATTTCATGACAGAGAAACAAGATAATCTTCACACCGCTATGATCAAAGAGAGGTTAGAGACTTATGCGGCGGCTTGGAATCCTACCCTTGACCAAACCAGGGTTCGCAATGTGGCCTCAAGATCAGGCAGGGGCTGTTCGGAACGGTCCCTCAACTCTCAAAAGGCCTGGGGGCTAAATCCTCTGTAGTCCGCAGGTGAGGCGCCAGGAGAGGTGGGCGGGGCTTGAGGCGGGGCGAAGCGAAACGGAGGAGGGCTGAGGCCTGTTGCCGGGCAACGTGCCCTCGGGCTGGGCCTTGCGTCACTGAGGCGCGACTTGTAGGCCACCGAACCGCTTCCCCGGAGGGCCTGAGCCGCAGGCGAAGCGGCGTAACTGCTGTGGGGACACGATGCCTTGAACCTGTGGTGAGCTCCGCAGCGCTGTTCTCCGCCGTGTCCTTCCTTAGCTGCTCCACACCCTCATCCCGGGAGTAGAACTGCGGCTAGGCCTTGACCGCCGAGCCGGGCTTCCCTTTCCAGGCCGCGGCTTAGAGCGCGGGGCTGGTTTGGGAGGCCCCGCCTTGGGCACCGTCTCCAACCGGCGGTTTCAAATAGCCAGGGAGGAGACGGTGGGTCCCACTTTGGGGATGGTTCTGGGAAGTGAGGAGAGGTGTTCCTCCTGGACCTAGAACTGTATTTTGAATATTGCCGCGGGGCACCAGTCGGCCCCCAGATTTAGGGTTGGTGAAAAGTGCGGGTTCACTGGGGAGGGACAGAGGCGGCGACACTGAAGCGACTGCGGGTTGATTACACTCGAAAGGAAAAACCCTTTGCCTGGGGCTCCACCGCCGAAAGGCTAAGTCGTTCAACTTAGCACACCCTATGCTTCCAAATTGGCCTGGGCTACCACTCTTGCCCAGCGCCGTCTGTCAAACTAGCTGCTATCCTGAGATCTGGCTGAGAAAAACGTTTTCTTAATTATAATTGTAGAGATTATACTGAAGGAAAAGAAGCCTTCTTTGTTAGCTTTTGAAACTATTTATTCAGCTATTTGTCTCGTGTTCCAAAATGTGGATTTACTGTTGTTGAAATTTATCCCCTGCTTCCTTATTAATTAAATGCCAATGTAGGTTTATGTTCTGACCCTTGCCTATTTTGCGCTGTCCAGCATTTTATTTGTTCCCCCAGCAGTAACACTTCTGTAATTGTTTACAATTCTTACATCTCCAGCACAAAGTATGGCTGCTATTCAGTCCCGCCCATTTTTCTTGTTATAAAGAGAGCTTCATTTATTCAGAATTTTGCCTGGGGCATGAGTTGCCAATCAGCTAATGATCCAGAGTTACTCACCTTTATATGGAAGTCACCCCTCTGAAAAGTGATGCTTTCGTAATTCACAATTCAAAAATAGTATGAATTTTTCCCTTTTCATGCTGCCTGGCTTCAGATTCTAAATATTTTTCTCCCAAATACGATGCTATGTTTCAAAAATATGTTATTTGTCATTTGATGTAAATTAACTTTATATTTGATCCCTCTTCGGTTCTTATCTAAATACACACATCCTTTCTCCTTGTTGTGAAAAGGAGAGAATGTCAAAAGAGAAGTTTTACAAGTGTAGTGTATTTTTTAAATATCTAAAAAATATTCTGTAAACACACTAGTGGTATTAGAGATCCATTTATTTCCTAGTAAAGTACTGCATTCTTAATTTTTTTGATAAGATTTTTGATTGCAGAACAGCCTGTTTCACTCTGTATCTGTTATAACTGTATTAATTTCCTCTTTTGAGAAAGAGCTGATAGCTACTCAAAGACATAGTTTGAGTAAGCAATGAATAATAAATAGTACCCTTAGGGACTTAGTTGTAGTACTTAGCCTGTGTTACTGAGCATTGATATGAAAGCAGTTGATAATTTCACCTAGAAACGTCTTTTTTGTAAGTGAATTTGATACAAAATTTGTTGGGGAATGGATATCAGAGTTTCTAAATACTTGCCGACTAGTTATTCTATGGCATGTGCAGGCTTTTCAATTTTACTTAAATCTTGTTATGAATAAATTACGGTTTAAATTTTCAGAGATGTTTTGTGGGGTTGTTTTTTTTTTGGTGGATTGCCAATTACCCATCAGTGATTGTTATATTTTTATAAGGAATATTTTGACTGCAACAATTCATTTGTTTAGAAAAAGAGACGAGATAACTGTATGTACCACCCACTGAGAATGTGGCATTTTTGGAATCCTTGATGTTCTTGTGAGTTTCAAAATAACAGTTCTTTATTCAGAAAACACTTCAAGTGTTTTTTGAAAGCACATTTCTATCCTGCTAGAAAGGACTAGGTTATAGGTGGCACAATAATTTGAGAGCTGCTGGTTTTTTAAAGAAATCTTTGCTAATTTGTCTTTTGCCAAATATTATGCCAGTGGTTTGCAGACTGTTCCTATGGGATATACTACTGTTCCATATGACTTAGAGGGAAGTATTTTGTTAATATCAAATGATGAATATTTCTCAATTTACATAAAAATTAGTTGTTTTTACAATTTTGCATTTCTTCTTCCATTAACTTCTACTTTTCTCCACATATCCCACTAATAGATAACTGAACAAAATAGCAAGTCAAAAGAATTCCAAGTGAATAATAATCTCAAAGCTGTCAACAATATTTACTATATTCATTTAGAAAACATTATGTTCCTGTGTATCTTCCAGAAGAGAGAACACAGTTAAATAACCTGAAGAAGATCATGGAGGGGGATGGGCAAGTGACAACTGGTGATATGTGCTATGACAGAAATATGTGCAGTCATCAAAGTGAAACACTGAAAAAGCTATGGCGAGTGACTAAAGGATGGCCTTAACAGATTGTTTTTGTGAATGTGTACTCTTGGTTGTTGTTTTACGCAGTATATAAGTTGTATTTTTACACTAGTGATGAATGATAATATTTATCAATTTTTTTGTTTTCAAAATAAGCTGTGAATTTAAGGCCCTCCCTCCTAAACCAGGTTGAGAACTACTGTACCTGCTCTTAAGTAGTCTGTAAATAATGTTACTATTTAATGCAAGGAGTCAGTGATGAGGTTTGCTGGATACTAAGTGCAGTCACAGGAAAAGAAGCTAATTTGCAGCCTCACATAATAAACTTTGTCATTTAAAATTAGGCACCAGTCAAAACATGCCAAAACAAAAGAGAACATTTTCTAACTGATAAATCACCAACCAAGACTCCTTTTTAAAATATGGTTTTGGAGAGCAATGTGGTCACCCTAAATTATGCCACCCCAAATTATTCCACTTTGGCAAAAGGATCATTTTGAATTACAGGCATTTTATTTTATTTTTTTGGTACCGGGGATCAAACTCAGGACCTTGCACTTGCGAGGCAGGCGGCAGAACCACTGAGCTAAATCCCCAGCCGGTATTACAGACATTTTAAAAAGTAGCAGATGAGAGAAATGCACTCTGCCCTTGTTTTTCTTTCAAAAGCAGAAGATAAAACTCTCATGTGTAAGGAAGACATTCTTAGAGATGGGCAGTTGAGATCAACAGGAATCTGTACAAACCTTCCTCAAGTAATCTTATTTTCCTAGTCACTTTTCCATAGTTAACTACACTAGCCCAAACTTCTTTATCTTGTCATACTTTCACAGTTTACTACTCTTTGTCCAACCTAGCTTTCAGCCCTAACTCCTCCTTTTGTCTTATTTTTCTTGTGAGGATGTCTAGGTACTGTACATGTAAAAATTGCTAAATACAATTTGTATACTTTTGTCTTCTTAGCCTTAGGCCCGGCTGGAACTCTAAGAGAATACAAGGAGAACAATTTTACCTTTCTTACATATATTGATTAAATTATCATTATAAGTTTACATTAACTATAGAGATTGTATTTCTAAAGTTTCATTTTTTTCTTTGTTAAGTATTGTGTATATACTTCTGGTTGATAAGAGTCTTATTGCATTTTGATTCCGTTGGTACAGGAAAGTTGAGGAAGCTTAAGTTTAATGTGGGGAGTAAAATACTAGGTTAGAGAAAATCTACTTCACTTCCCACCCAGGCAGAAATTTTTATTCTACTCATGAGATGAACCTCTTATCTTTACTTAAACATTTCCATACATCAGTGAAAGAAAATCCATGCACATTACAACATCCCTTTCTATTTCTGGATGGTAGGACATTCTTATATTAAACTGAAATCTGCTCTCTAACTTACATTATTGGCCATTTTTTTCTCTATAGCTGTGGAATATAAATCTTACATCCTCTTCCGCATGACAGCACCTCAAATATTTGAACAAACAAATCACGTTGTAGCATGTTGTCACCAAGCTATGCTAATAGAGAATAAATCACTTTGTTTCCTTTTTTAAACACATAATGTCTGGAATATGTTCTAATTTAATATCCTTCAAATTCTCACTGCTTAGACCTTCAGTGTGGTCAAACCATTGCAGAGCACAATGGAATTAGTCTCCTTGCTCTGAACATTTGCTTTTAGAAAGAGTTTAAGATTACTTTAGCATCTTTGATGTTCCTATTATATTGTTGACTGATTTTTCTTAAAAACCTTGGACCTTTTATATTTTAACTGCTTTTAAGTACATAAAATGGCTTGAGTGCTTTTTTGGAAAGACTTATTCTAATACTATATGCTGGGTCCTTTTCTGTGGTTGACTTTTCAAAACATTTTCAGAAGAAGTTAACTCTTTGTTGTATTAAATTTAATTTTAGCAACTCAGCACCTGTTTTGTTCTTGAGCCAGTGAATATTCATTTCTTCACTCCAGTTTTGGTCATACACATTCTGAGCAGGCATGCAATGCAATCTTGTCTTCAAGTCATCAGTAAAAATGTTAAATATCCCATTTCTTGGTGCCAGCCTTCCCTTTCCCTCTGCCTCTCTGCCTGAGACATTTTAGTCTTTTTTTTTTTTTTTTTAATTACCGCAAAGGCACTGTGGTACTTCTTATCTCAAGCACTTTCTGTAACCTCAGCCTGGAATGTTCACTCACCATGCCCTCCCAACCCCACACAAACCCTGACTGACCTAAACTCAAATCGAATGTTTGCCCAGGGACTTCTTCCCTGATCCAGGACTAAGTCAGGTTCCCCCTTTATAGGCTTTCATAGCACCCTATATGTATTTGATTTAGTGTTTCTCATTCTGTGATTATTTACTTATTTGTGTGATTACTGTTGTTTCCACTGTTTTGGATGTTCCTCAGTGACTCACAGGCATATCCCTAGAACACAGTATTTGTTCAGTTTAATTTTTTTTTTTTAATTTTTTTAGTACCGGGGATCAAACTCGGGTCCTTGCGCTTGCGCAGCAGGCAGCGAAACCGCTGAGCTAAATTCCCAGCCCTGTTCAGTTTAATTTTTAAAAAGACCATGTAAGACAGTGAATCCCTAACACTAGTCTGCAACCATTTGTTCCTAATATTTTTATAACTATGGATGAGGACAAGAAAAATAAGGACAATATATAGTTTTAATCTGAATATATGTAGTAAATGTCAGAGTGAAGTTACTGCCTTTCTGGGGAAAGACTTAATCTAATATATCCTACTTTTCAGGTCATACATTGTTCATTTGTAAGTTTGAGGGGGATTTGGGGGTTTTTTTGGAAACTGTCCTTAGAATAAAAAGAAGTGCACAATGCTATGGTGATTTGAGAAGTTGCTGTTTTGCCATCATTAATAGTAATATTTGTATTGAACAAGATTATCACATACGGCTATTGAATATATTACCGTAGACAAATACTAAAAATGCTTGCTCTTCTGGTAATTTTTTACCAGAGGAAAATAACTGTCTAGAATAAACATATCTAACTTGTCTAGACACAACACATAGAATTATATTTTTCAAGACTTTAAAATACAGTAAATGTTTTGTGCTTAAATTTTAAAGTCAATTCAACAAATTATTGATCTAAATTGTTAGTACATTATTAAAGTAGTGACCCAGCCTTTTGACTCATATTTAGAAAACAAATTACATAAATTCAACATTAAAAATACTTAGAGGGATTAGAGTCAAAGAGCTGTTTTTCCACTAAGCAGAAAATGTGAGGTGGTTAAACTATCTTAACACTTTAATTTTATTAGATTTTTCAAAACAAAAATGTATTATATATTTTTAAATTAAAAATAAGTTGCACATTTATAAATAATTCAGAAACAAATTTTTAGCTGATAAAATTATAACCTCAGCCATTATAGTAGTCAAGAATGTAAGCACTATACAATGTGATAAACACAAGTTCAAAGTTCACTTCCACCCCTTACTGTGTATTTTTCATGAGCTACTTAGCTCCATTTCTTAATCTGTAAAATAAAGATACAACACTATCTATTTCTTAGGATGTTGTAAGAAATAAATGACATAATACGGTACATGGAAAGCACTTAGTTTGGAGTCTGACATGTGGTAAGCAGCGAGGAAATGTTAAGAAAATTAAATAAGGTAAACAAATTTCCTGTTAACTACAGTCACTTATATGCTTTTGTGTGTGCATGCTCACATGTGTGTGTTTGTGTGTATGTGTGTGATAATGGGTTTTGACATGGTAAAATTATAGGAATTAGAGGTTATCTTCCCAATATCATAAGTGAATCCTGTTTTCATATTTAGTAATATGATTCTGAAAATACAGAAATAAAATCTTTAAAAATAGAGTCATTTAGCCGAGGATTTAGCTCAGTGGTTTCGCTGCCTGCTGCGCAAGTGCAAGGACCCAAGTTCAATCCCCAGTACCAAAAAAAAAAAAAAAAAATATATATATATATATATATATATATAGTCATTTAAACAAATCCTATCTTAGACTCATATAAGTCTACTGAACTCTCAAAGTTTGTCTTTTCCTTTTTGTTTTTTGAAGGGTGGGTATACTGCTGTTTTTATATTCTATGTAAAAGTAACATATATTTGACAGGAGGTATGTGAAGCAACACTTTTTCTGGATTATAAAAGACATCATTTCATCATGGGACAGCAAATTTCGGATCAGACACAGCTGGTTATTAACAAGTTACCAGAAAAAGTAGCAAAACATGTCACACTGGTTCGAGAAAGTAGCTCCTTAACTTACGAAGAATTTCTTGGGAGAGTAGCCGAACTCAATGATGTGTAAGTCTTTCTTTTTCATTTTATTTTTCCCCTTGAGGTTTCCATTATGTCACGGCTATGTAAGAAGTAACGGAAAGTATTGATTGGTAAGGTGAAATGTACCAATTTCCATGGGTTGGAGTTGGCCATTCACAAGTGCAGTGCTCTCTGACAACTGTAAAGTGAAATGTATACAGAAGTGTAGCTTGGTAGCTGGGAAACAGGAACTAGAAACTGGCATGGCTGAATTATTTTCACTGGAAGACTAGTTTTATTTTCAGTGGCCTCATTTTACTTAGCTGTAAGTCACTTTGTTGAATGTGATCTTTATTGGTGCTTAGAAAGAAATGTTAGAAATGATAAAAGGAAATTGCAGTGTTTAAATATGTCTTTGCACTGATTTAAATTGGTGTTGATAGCGTGATACTGAATTATCATGCTCTAAAAATGTTATATTTTTATGTTAGAATCCTGTGGCTCTCAAAATTACTCTGCTAAAAGAGAACAGTAAAGCTGTATTTAATATCTCCAATCGTTTGTTTTACTTGATCAAGCTCCAAATTATCTAAGAAACAAAAACTTTCAAAGAGATACCTTAATGTTACTTAAACAGGACTGAAGCAAGAACAAGATATTTTTACACTTTATATGAAGCAATAGTCAAAATCTTGATAAGTGAAACCAGCTAAGCTTTTTAAGTCCCATTTTTTGGACTTGTTTTTTCTAAAGGGGTTTGCTAGAAATTTAAAGACAATTGAGGTGGATTTTATAAATATAATTCCACAAAGCTATTGACTTTTAAAAACTTGGAAATTAAGTTTTATATTTATGTTTAAAACATTCTCTGTCTTTATGTTTTAAGAATCCAGTTATTGGGCCGGGGATTTAGCTCTGGTTCCACTGCCTGCCTCGCAAACTCAAGGACTGGAGTTTGATCCCTGGTACCAAAAAAACCCCAAAAATCCAGTTATTAAGAACTTTATAGTTATTATTTGTCATGATGTTTTTCTTCATGTTTCCATCTCTGTCTGAAAGTATTTATTGAATCTGGTTTCATAGTTCTTTTATTTTGTATAACTTTTCATAAAATTAACAGATGTGCTTGTCTCTTTTCAGAACTGCTAAAGTGGCTGCTGGCCAGGAAAAACATCTTCTCTTTGAGGTACAACCTGGTTCTGATTCCTCTGCCTTTTGGAAAGTGGTTGTACGGGTGGTCTGTACCAAGGTAAGACTCATAGAGACTTCCATTTCTGAGCTTAAACTAGTCTGATGGTTAGAATCACATTTAATAGTATAGTATAATATAGTGGAAATAAATGTTAGTAATTTATGATTTCGTAAACCATAGCTTTTTGTTTTGTTTTTTTGGTACTGGGGATCGAACTTGGGACCTTAAGCTTGCTTGCAAGGCAGGCAGTGGAACCACTGAGCTAAATTCCCGGCCCCAGTAAAGCATAGTTTTGATTTAGTTATCGCCTTCCAGCCAACTTTTTGTACCTTGCCAGTTATCTAATTGCTGTATAGCAGGGATTTTTTTTTTTACATGAAATGCTTTTTTTTCAGTTTTTATTTTTCTGTTACTACATGTTTACAGTACATAATGATTACATTCCTTGAGGGGAGTTACTTTGTGTATGTAACACATCTTAATTTTTTTAAACCCCTCCCCCTTCCCTCTCTCCCCCCTCCCTCACTTTATCTCCTCTTTTGCAAAAGATCTATTTCCCTTTTTCCTATTATCTATTTTTTATCTTGCTCTTTATTTATATTTTGGGTTTTTCATATAAGAGAAACTACAATATTTAAGCTTATGTGTCTGATTTATTTCATGTAACATATATTCTCAAGGTACATCCGTTTTCCTACAGATGACTCAAGTTTATCCTTTATGGAAGAGTAATATCCCATTGTGTATGTACCACACTTTATACATTCATCTGTTGGTGGACCTACAGGCTACTTTCAAGATTTAACTATTATAAATTATGCTGCTATAAATATGGGTCCTGGTAATCTCTTTTCCTTTCCTTCTACCTCTTTTGGGGGCTTACCTGGCTATAGAGTCCTGTGATGACACTGTTGAGCACTAAGATGACACCTTAAAAACTGAAGTTTATCTTAGACCATTTCTTTTAAGAACACTGGGTTTCATTAATTTTTAAAAAACACTTAAAGGTTTGGTTTGATTTATTTTGATGATTTTTACTTATATAATGGATTTTTCACTGTCAATGCACTGTATTGTAGTTCACATTTTAGATAATTGAATATATCAGTTCTGCTAAAAATGTAATGGCAGCTGTCATAGAGGATTGGAAAGACCCATCCACCAGTGAGTAGATTAGAATACACAATACTTACCCTTTTTGAAGCTACAGGCCTTTGAGCAAAAATAGAAGCACAAATTTTATTAGGCTTCCTTCTATGGCAGTCCATGTTTTAAAACAAAGAAATATACAGTAAAATCATCCATATGCATATAAAGCATAAGTGGGACATTTATAAATGCCTTGTAGTCCAATCTTAACCAACTCATAAAGAGTGCTTGGTTAGGAGATTTTTTTCCTTTGAGTTACAGACTTCAGGAATAACCTCAATAGTATGTCAGATTTCCCTAGTGGATTATCAGTTTTACTTCTAGTGTCTTTCACTTCCAGTTTATTCAAACATGGAATTCCAGGCACTAGGAATACAATAAATGATAAATAAGACAAATTCCATGCCCTCAAAAAGGTACTTATAGTTCGTGCCCCTTACTCTTTAGTCCAGATTGCTGTAGATTCTGTATTAATCTTCACACCTCAATACTTTTCTCACAATTCTAATTCATACTGCTGTGAGATAACCTTTTCAAAGCATAACTCTCATGAGCTCACTGCCCTCCCTAAAATTCCTCAAATTCCTGATTGCCCACAAACTGTACCCAACCCCTTAATGTGTCACTCAGGCCCTCTATGATATGGCTCCAAGTTATTTTTTCTGCTTTATTCATAACTGTTTCCTTTTATAGTCTGCACTTTGACCAGACTTAACTAATTTAGGCTGTTACTTTTTCTACCCCAGTCCTCAATGCTTATTGAGTTCCCTCAATTAGAAGGTTCATTCCTCAATCATTTTAACTTGCCATCAGCTACAAGTCACAGAAAACTCCTATTAAGCCAGTTTAAATGAAAGCAGTATTTGTTTTCTCACTTATCAAGACTTCCTGGGCCGGGGATTTAGCTCAGTGGTTCCACCGCCTGCTGCACAAGCGCAAGGACCCGAGTTCCATCCCCAGTACCAAAAAAAAAAAAGAATTCCTAATATAGACCAGCTCCGGGATTGATTAATTTACAGACCAGGAAATCTCTTTTCACCTCATTGATCAGTATTAGGTCACATCCTTTCCTTACACATACACTGGCAGAAGGAACCTGGCTCATCATTAAATTCAACATTAAATAAAAAATTATTTAGGTTCTTAGCACCCTAGTAAATAGTAAGCCCCGAGGCAGGAACCATTCTTATGTCCCTTACAGCTGAAAATCCAGTGCTTGGCACCTGGTAGGAACTTAGCACGTGCTGAACATCAAAAATATGTTGAAGAAATATTCTCACTTTACATGACTGGGATAGGATGAAGCTTTTCCTTGTGTGTCGATACATGGTATTACCTAAATTACATTCACTGTCCACTTTTATTTCATAAAGTGCTCAGCTCACAGAAGAGGCCTGTATAAATTATAGGAAGCTGTGGAATAGAAGTCGATCATGTTTTTGATCCCTTCGTTTTCTGTTGCTTCTTTTTGACAAACAGAATTAATGTTTAATTTTATTAATTAATGAAAATCCTTTTTACCCTAATATCTCTAACCACTATATCTGTATGCAATTAGTGTAAACATCTTCCTTGAAATAAGATTCTAAGTAGAAAAACAAAAGTATTAAAGACAAAAGCAACTAGATCTTTCTTTTGTGAGAATTTCTTTCCTTGATTTTAGATCTACTTGAAAGAAAATTTTTTATTTGCCTTGTTGTTTTTCTTTTTCTTTTTTGGTACCAGGGATCAAATTCAGGACCTTGCATTTGTGAGGGCAGACACGGTGCCACTGAGCTAAATCCCCGGCCCTTATTTACCTTCTTAGATTCTTTTCGAAAGAATCCCTGGGAAGTCAGTGTTTACATTGAAAAGACTTAGGTCGGACTTGAAAATCTTACAGAAGCAGGAAAGCTATTCAAAAATGCTTGTAGTTTGCCCTCTGTATCTACAGTAAGACCTTATCTTGACATTCTGTATTCTGCTATGATTATCCTCAAGTAAAATTTAGTTTATTTTAAAAATAATGTTTAAATGGAATATTTTGGCGAAATATGTGAAAAATTAATAGGTTAATTTAAAAATATATACTAAGGTATTAAACTTTATGAATTTTATATTTTGTCATTCTTGTATGTAGACTAAAACCTTATAGTTGGTACTTGATTCTTTGTTTCTCATACTCCACAGTCAATCCATAAGTGAGTTCTGTCAGTTTTCTCCTCAAAATATATTTGGAATCTAGCTAGTTCTCACCATACTTCCACTCTATTCCTAGCTAGCGATTATCTCTCACCAGGATTATGTGAGTCACTTCCTAACTGGTCTCTCTGTTTCTGTTCCCCCACCCCCATGTCTATTCTCAGCACTAGTCTATTCCACACCACAATTTGAAATGTAAAGCAGATCATATTACTTCTTGGCTCACAGCCCTCCAGTGATCCCTATGCACTTGGAATAAAAGCCAGTCATTACTATAATCAACAAAGTTCTGTATATCCTATCCCTACCTCATCCTTTAACCTTATCTTCCAGCACTTGTCCACTCTGGGTTCCTTGCTGGACTCCTTGTGCTCCTTGCCAGGTATACATTTGCCTTTACACTAGTCTCTAAAATGATAGTCTTTCCCCCAGATATCTATATATCATTCATTCCTGTACTTCTTCCAATTCTTACATGTCATCTTTAAGACCTCCCCTGCAGCCCTTCAGCATTCCTTCTCCCCAATTTCATCTTCTCCATAACCCTGATTTCTATCCACCTTCATCGGTATTTGTCTGTCTCTCCTACCTATCATGTAACTGGCAGGAGGGCAGGGATTTTTGTATTATACACACTATGTCTTTAGTACCTAGAGCATTGCACATACTACCATAACATCTACATTATGGCTACTTATGAGTATTTATTGAAGGATCCTATGATTAGACTAATTATAGTGTGATAAACTTTGCTATTATATTACTAAGCTTTTCTGAATTATTCCATGATTTCTTCTGTACTATGAAGTTCAAAAGAAAGATTGGCCCACTTTCCTCAGCTATGAAGGCCTATTCTGTAAACCTTTATAAGTCCGCATCACCTTTTAATTCTGTTGTTCTCTACTCCATATACAGTCTCTTATTACAAATAACATTACATAATTGCATCTCAATATAGAGCTTACCTTCCCAAAATTTAATCAAATTTTGATAGAGATGATTCTCCCATTTTCACAATATGGAATCTGACTTATTCTTGATTCTCAGTATTTTCTTTCACTGCTTTTAGAAATATTAAGCAATAAATAAATAATAGTTATAACTATTATTTTAATTTTAAATATTTAAATGTTGCTATGATAGTTTTCTTATTATTTATACTATTTCTTTTTGCATGCTGGGGATTGAATCCAATGCCTCATGCATCCTAGGCCAACATTCCCTATCTATATATTTCTCTGTGCATTTTTCACTTCTGTCTAAATATTTTCTGATTTTTGCCTGTTCTATTTACTTGATGTCCATTTTAATAGATTCCCGGCTTCTATTCCCACAGTCTTCTCAACCATCTCTTGTGCTAAAAGTAAGTCTTTCACATCTAATCTTTCTTTGATTACTTCAAATTCTTTATCCAAGGGTATTTCACCCTTACCCTACTGTCCTTGGTCATTTCAGAAAAGAGTGCATGCCCCACTCCTTAACTACTTGAAGCCATATGAAAGCATTCCTCTGTCCCTGCCCTAAATATCTTATTCCCATAGGCTTGTAAACTGGAAGGGGAGAATCTGTAGGGTGACAATCTCTAGGCCATTAATCTCACCTTATATTAAATGAGTTTTTGTTACAGTTCAAAATTTAACCACTTTGTTAGTTTTTAATTTTATTTCTTTAGAAGCTTTTTTTTTAAGTATATTCAAGAAATCCTTCTGTTTTTTCACTTAGAATGGCAAGTGGTTGCTGAAGTCAAGTAAATCCCTTAATGAAGAAATTCTTTAAGAAATTAAAATAAAAGAATTGTCAAAACTAATCTCTAAAACTCATTTCTTATTTCTGGGAAAGTCACCTAACCTCATCAACTCTATAAACAGGGTGATGTCTAATCAATCAAATGAGACAAACTTGTATAAGTTCTTTGAACCTCATAAGTGAAGGGTTCATGTTATTATTAATTCAAACTTTTGAATTTTTTTAAGTAATTTACAAATCTTGAAAACCTCTTTTCTAGGGTGTTTGACTAAATATTTGTGTCATATCTCACCTCTTTTTTTTTTTCCATTTTCTTTGTGTTTTTAGATTAACAAAAGCAGTGGCATTGTAGAAGCATCACGGATCATGAATTTGTACCAGTTCATTCAGCTTTATAAAGATATCACAAGTCAAGCAGCAGGAGTATTGGCTCAGAGCTCCACCTCTGACGAACCTGATGAAAACTCATCCTCTGTAACATCTTGTCAGACTAGCTTTTGGATGGGAAGGTATACGTGCACAATTACCATGTTTCTCTTTTCCAATACGCAGACCATTGAAAGTGCATTTATATTTTTGCTGGTGCTGCTCATGGCACCCTAAATCTTTTTGTCTCAGTTGGTATTATATACCAGATTAAGTTTTGGATTACTCTATCCTTCCATTTATTTCATAGTGTCAAATTAAAATTAAGTTGAAGTGATTCATTCCAGGTAATGTTTCTGTCAACCCAGTCCCCAGGAATCTACTCTTATACTCTATATTCTTCCATTTAATGGCAAAGGAAATATTAATGATTCCCTTTTAATAGGTATAGGTATCTGTGTCCTTAGTCAAAGCCCTGAAGGAATTAGGTCCAAGGAGTTGACAAGATTATTTCAGAAAGTGTCTAACTGGAGGATTAAAATTTTAAATATTGACTCTGGGACTTGGCAGTCCATTCAGGAATGAAAAACGGTTGGCTCACATATTGCATATACTCAGTTACCAGAAGAAGGTAAAGTCAGCCAGAGTTTCTGTGATGGTCCTTGTTTACTCAGGCCTAATGTATTATTGTTCTACCTAAACTTTCTTTTCCTTCTCTATTATGCTTTTTGGCATTGAAAACTCCCACCTGTTACCATTTGACAATCGTGACCATAATTTAAATTTGTAAATGCCTCATTGGAAAAATATGTCCAAACATGTTGACATCCTGTCTTATTGTCATTCTGGGTAGACAGCAGAAATCTATGGTGATAGTGTCTTTTATTATAAAGTTCAGAAAGTGTTTAACAAGAATTTCTCTTTTATTATTTTATTTACAGTTGCATTTTCTAGTCCATTCTTAACCATCTCGTTTCCAAATATTATGTAGTAGTTGAATTGTATTTTCCATTCATCATTTTCGGTTTATCTTTAATATAGTTTTAAAGGTTTGGGCTATACAAATGCTAGTGACATGTCAAATGAATTTTAGAATATTGTAGGCAGTGTTTAGGCCTATCTTTGTTTTACTTTGTAAAGTTAATATTTCAAAGACCACAATCTGATTTTTTGCTTTTTTATTCTCCCTCTTCAGAATGGTGATTTTTTAAAAGTGTTTTAAAAACTGAGAATTGTGTTTTACCCATATATGTAAGCCATATGGTTGCAAATAAAAGTAATGCTTCTTGTTGCAATCATCTTATTGGAGGAGGTGAAAGTGTTTCCCTTTTTCATGTGCCTTGAGACTGTAAAACTCAATGCCTAATTGGTTAGTTAAGGTTGCATCTTGACTTCGTATGTTTTTATTTTATAGTGATACCCTGATACACTAGTTCATAGAAAAGACAAAGACTCTTATCTTCAAAGAGCTATGCAATTTTTACATCATTTGATTGAAGTAGATGTTGATTTTGAGGGCAGAAAGAAAGTGGATGTTTTAAGCTGAGGTACTGAGATTAGAGTTTACTAAACAAAGAAGGCAATCCCAGGACAAAAAATAACCATGTGCAAAGGCACATGGCTCATTTGGGGGACTCTGAATTGTAGCTAGAGAAGGTTCAACTTCTCTTTTCTTCCCAAGAAGATGAAAGAGCTCCTTGAGGAGAGACTTGGCTTCTAACTCTTTTGTGTTTCCCATAGAACCTCATACTTGAGGCTAGACTATTCATTTTTGGGCCAACTATCAGTTTCAGCATTGTAAGGCCCTGATGCAAGGTCTGTGCTTTAGACCACATTGAATCCTATATTGTGATAAATTATATTATGGTTGAATTCATTTATGTAAATTCAGTATGATTAAAATGGGCTGAGTTATTTTCAGAAAGACCTGAATATTTCCAGTTTTTGTCCATAATTTTTCTTTAACAATCACAGAACTTATCTTTTATTCAGTCTTTATGAAATTTATGCCTGTATTTCTTCCCTAATATATTTGCCCTTCCTAAAAGATGTTAATATTAGTCTGATGTTAACTTTGCAATAAGTCATATTGTGCTTTATATTATAGATGTTTAGTAATTTTTTTTAAGGCAATGAAAACAAAGTAGAAAGCATATGGACAGAGAATATCATTGTTCCAGCTCAGCTTTCACATTGCAGGGTGAAGCAGCTGACCGATGAGGAGGAGTGTTGTATCTGCATGGATGGACGAGCTGACCTCATCCTGCCTTGTGCTCACAGCTTTTGCCAGAAGTGTATTGATAAATGGTAAGTTATCTGCTGCCTTCAGGGATATGCAGAAGCCAAATGGGATAGTGTGTATGAATAAACTTTCAAAAGTACAAAAATATTGTAGTTATCTTCAAGAGATTTTTTTGTTTTTATAGCTAAAGTTTGTAAGATGTGGAGAACATAACTTGGTTTTGATACTTGTAAGGAGATTTGTGCCTGATTTGAATCTAGAATCAAATACTTTCTTTTTTCTTCTTTTTTTTCTCATTTCCACATTTATTCTCTCTCTGTGTTTATAATGAATAAATCCTTGAATATTGGATCTGGGGAACACTTTAGATATTAGCCGGTCAGGCTCATTGTTTTACAAAATAAAAATTGAAGGTAACACATAATTGACTTACAATAAACTACATATATCTGAGGTACAATTTTATTTGTTTGTTTGTTTGTTTGTTCATTCATTTATTTATTTGTGGTACTGGGATTGAACTCAGGGCCTTCATAGTGGGGTATATCCCTGGCCTTTTTAATTTTGATTCAGGGTCTGAGTTGCTATGAAGCCTGAGCAGGGCTCATACTTTTCATTCTTCTCCCTCAGCCTTCCAGAGTGCTAGAATTACAGGCATGAGCATCACACTGGGCTTGAAGTACAATTGGCTATTATGACATCTGCACACATCCTTAAAAGCATCATCACAAACAAGATAATGAACATATCCATTGCCCCCAGAATTACCTTGTGCCCCGTTATAAAGCTTCCTCCCCACTCTTCCCCTCAGGTCTCTGGCAGGTGCTGATGTACTTTCATCTGCTAAAAATAAGTTTTATTTTCTACAATTTTAATAGTTGGAATCATACAGTATATACTGTTTTGGGGAGGGAAGTATCTGGCTCTTTTCATTCCCTATAATTGAGATTTTTTTCATGTTGTAGATTTGGCTAAGTTACAAAAGTTCCTAAACAGGCTGTTGGACAAGTATTTTTATGGACATACATTTTTATTTGGGAGAGGGTAAATACCTAGAAGTAAAATGGCTAGATCGTATAGTAGGTGCGTGTTTTAACTTTTTAAGAAATTGCCATTTTCCAAAGCAGTCATGCCTTTTTAAACTACCACCAATTGATCTATACCTTTGCCAATATTTGATACCATCAGTCTTTTTAATTTTAGCCATTCTAATCAGCTGTATAGTGGTATCTCATGGATCTCTACTGACAGGACAAGTTAAAAAACTTTCCATATTCTAATTTACTATTTGTATATCTTCTTTGAAGTGTCTATTCAAATCTTTGCCCCTTTATTGGGAACTTTAATAGTTCTTTGTGTACATTCTTGATACTTGTGCTTTATCAGATACAGTGTATGATTTGCACGTATTTTCTTCCACTCTGCTTTGGCTTTGCATTCTCTTTTAAGTGTACCGTTCAAAGAGTAGGAATTTTTAATTGTCATGAGGTCCAATTTATCAATTTATGATTCATAAATAATTATTTTAGTGTAATATCTATGAAATCTCTAACTCAAGGATACAAAAGATACCAGCTTGTCTTCCAGAAGTTTTAGTTTTATAGTTTTTTGGTTTTACATTTAGATCTACAATCCCTTTTGATTTGTTTGTTGAAAGTTGGTTTGTCTTTTCTTCACCAAATAGCCTCTGCCCCTTTGCTAGAAATCAGTTGTTCAAAATGGGTCTATTTTTAGACTTATCTGTTCCATTAATCTTGACTATTTCATTCCAATATCATACTACTCTTATTAGTATAGCTTTTGTCTTGTTACTTTTTTCATTGCTGAGACAAAATATCCAACACCCAAAGGTAAAGGAGGAAAAAGTTTATTGTAGCTCAGTTTGTAGAGGTTTCCGTCCATAGTCAGCTTGTTCCAAGGCAGAGGGGCATCGCAGAGGAGAAACAGTCTGTGGCGAAGCACGGCAAACAGAAAGCAGCGAGCAGCAAGTGACTACAGCAGCCCTCTTTCTGTCCCTTATATTTCATCTATGCTACCCACCCTTAGAGAATCATATGAAGTTAAAGGAGAAAAGGCTTATTTTTGCTCACAGTTTGTAAAGGTTTCAGTCCATAGACTGCTGGCTCCAAGGCAGGGCAGCATGGCAAAGGGGGATCACAAAGGAGAAAGTCCATGATGTGGCAGGCAGGAAGCAATAAGCCTGCCTTCTTCCGTCTTTTCCTTCATATTCCATCCAGGCTATAAGCCTTTTGGTTGGTGCCACCTACACCAGGATGGGGCTTCCTATCATCCATACTCAGAACTGTGCTAAACTAATCAATGAACTAATTTAGTTACCACACACCCTTAATTCATATTCACACACCCTAGATCCAGCTACCTCTGAAAAGCCCCACCTAAAAGCACATGAGGCTTTATGAGGGCATCTAGATACAAGCCATAACAGACTTCTTAAGAATGTTGTTTATGTTCTAGGGCTGGGGATTTAGCTCAGTGATTCTGCTGCCCACCTTGCAAGTGCAAGGTCCCGAGTTCGATCCCCAGTACCAAAAAAACCCCCAACAATGTTGTATGTTCTAATACAATATAGTCCTCCATTTTGTAGGTCTTTAATATCTCTAAGCAATTTTTGTAGTTTTCAGTGTTGTACATCTGTGACCAATTTGACTGTGCATTTCATATTTTTTGCTATATTCAGATGGGGTTTACTTCAAGTTTTAATCATTTATTGCTAGTGTTTAAAAGGTAATAGATTTTTGTGCATCAGTCTTGTATCCTGCATTCTTACTCAACTCATTTGTTAGTTCTAGTAGTTTTCTAGAAACTCCATAGGATTTTCTTGAATGTCTGAATTTTTTTTAAAGATTTTTTTTCTGCTACATAATTCTAGACAGTATTTTTACTTCTAGTACTTTAATGATGTTGCTCTGCCTCTTCTTGCTTATGTTGTTTTCCTGTATCTGTCATCCTTATCTTTATTCCACAGGAGATAATGTGTCCTTTTTTTTCTTCAGGCTACTTTAAGGTTTTTATCTTTTCTCTGGTTTTAAGCAGTTTGAGCATGGTATGCCTTAGAGTTGTTTTTGTTTGTTTGTTTTTGCTTTTGTTTTCTCGTGTTTCTTGTGCTTGGAATATGTTGAACTACTTAGATTTGTAAAGTGTCAATATTGGAAAATTTTCAGCCTTTTTTTTCTCAAAAATTTTTTTACTATTTTCTCTCTTCCTCTACTTACAGGATTCCTGTTACTGTACATTAGACCACTTGAACTTGCATTTCATATTGAATAGTCATTATGTTTTTTCAAATTCACTAATCTTTTTTTCTGCAATGTCTAACTTATCATTAATTCCGTGAAGTATAATTTTGTTTACCTTAGATATTTTTGTTTTCATTTCTACAAGTTTGAATTTTTAATATTTTCTATTTCCCATCTAATATAATGGATCTTTTCTCTACTGTTTTGAATATATGGAATATAGTTGTAATTTTAATGTTCTTATCTGCTAATTCTATTATGTGTCACAGTTCTGGGTTGTTTTGATTGATTTTTCTCTTTAATGTGGGCTATATTTTTCTCCTGTTTCTTTATATCCTTTGTAGTTTTTGATTGAATGCCAGATATTGTGAATTTTACATTTTAGGTACTAGATATTTTTGCATTACTAAAAATATTCTTGAGCTTTGTTCTGGAATATAATTACGTTACTTACAAACAGTCTGATCCTTTTAGGTCTGGCTTATATAATTTGTTAGATGGGACCAGATCAGTGTTTAATGCTAATTATTCCCCACTAATGAGGCTCGACCCTTTGAAGTACTGTACTTAATCTCCAATAATTATGAGGTATTCCAATCTGGCTTGTAAGAACAGGAAGTATCCCATGCCCTTTGTGAGCTTTGAGCACTGTTCCCTCAAATTCTCAGCCCCATGAAGCTTCCTCAACTGCACACACTGGTCTAGACGTACTCTGCTGAAGACAGTGAAGGGGGACCTTCTGTAGATCTCTACAACTCTGCTTCTGCATGGCTCTCTCCTTCCCAGTAATCTGGTTTTGCTAAGTTGCCTAGGCTGGGCTTGAACTTGTGATCCTTCTGCCTCAGCCTTCCAGAATGCTAGGATTACAGGCATGTGCCACCACATCCAAATCATTATTTTCTACATTTTGTCCTGTATTTTAGTTGTTTTAAGTGGGAAGATAAATCTGGTCTCTGTTGGCCGGAAGTAGAAGTTGACTATTTTTAAATTGTGATGTTTTGCTCACAAACAAACATAATTATCTTGTAAAATATCTCTGGGGAACCAGAAATAAACCTGAATAATATACGCCAGCTCTGGCTTTCCCATTTGGTTTTGGAATACATTTCTAAAGTTTTGCACAAAAGCCAAAGAGCAGTTGATAAAATTTGATTACTTTGATCCCAGGTTTCACTGAGAGATGAAGAGAAAAACATTTTTCCTTGCATAATACATTTCTGGCTGAAATGCTATTTTTAAGTTTCCAAAATATTTGACAAGGAAAAAAAATCCCTTTGGAAAACATGACCTTAATTTAAGTGATTATATATATATGTATCCTTTACCTATCAGAAAAGCTATCTGCCTATAAATTTCATCTTGTTTTAAACCTTGAGTGCTCCATTTTTATAGTTGCTTTAAGAAGTCTTCATGTTATTTATGAACCAAAGAACTTTGTATCAGACCTGTATGCATGGTCACATTGTTAAGCTGCGTGTATATAGATAACACTGGGAAAAACAACTGGAAACACCCTTTCCTGCTGCCTTATTCCCTTGCTACTGTCAATAAATTATTCCTAGCATAATGTCTTCCATTTAAATATAAATAAATATTTACACTTTACACTGTGAAGAGATCTTCCATTTGTGAGAGGGAATTTCCTCTCAGGACAAGGAATTTTTATTATAAAGGAAAACTACCTATTTGGGCACAAGGATATAAATTAATGGGATTGCTTGTAGCAGCGAAAGACAGGGAAACAAACATCCTTTTATGGGAGACTAAATAAATTATGATATACCCATATAGTTTGTTTTTAAAAGCATAAACAGTTTTATCCTGTGCTGATATGTAATGGTCTAGAAGATATACGCACATATACACTGGAGTATTTAGGATAGGAATTATTTTTCACTGTATACTTTTATGCTGATTTTTTTAAATCCATGTACATATATTATTTTTCAATCAAGCTTATTTTTAAGAAAGAAAGAAAATAAACTTCTTGTTTTGATTTCCCTAATAGGAGTGATCGACACAGGAATTGCCCTATTTGTCGCCTACAGATGACTGGAGCAAATGAATCTTGGGTAGTGTCAGATGCACCCACAGAAGATGACATGGCTAACTATATTCTTAACATGGCTGATGAGGCAGGCCAGCCCCACAGGCCATGACCTTGTGGGAAGAGCTTCTTTTGTTATTGTGGGCTACAAATACATTGTGGTCATGGAGGAAGAATGGAGGTACCTTCTGACACAGATACAGAAAAACTAATTTTTCCCATCCTCTTATTTTTGCTATTCTGATAATGTGTCCCATTTTTTAAATAAACTTTCCATGTCTTCCATTCATGGTAAACTAAAATGTGGTACTGTTTTAGACTGTATTTTATCTGTTCTAATATGTATTAGAACTAATTGCTCTTGAATCCTTTGCTAGCAAATAACAGCAATATTTCCAGAGGCTTTGGACAAACTACAGATTTTCAGAGCAGGTGTATTCTGGAATCTTTTTAGTTAGGTATAAAAACTTGAAATTTGAAAATTTGCAACCATCTGAGAGAAAAATTTAATGACTAAAAACAGACTATGTGAAAGTACATATTACTACTTAAAACTAATCTTTCTGCTGGAATCTAAGGAGTGTGTATTATGCCCCCTTGTGGTTAATTATTGCTCCTTTGATAATTTTTACTTGAAGTGAGCCACAGTCTCATAACTTTATGTAACTTTAACAGTGTGTTTTTCAACTACATATTTTTTACTTTAAAGGTCATTTTTTATGATATATAATTTGGGTGAAGACTATAAAGTTGGAACTTTGCCTTGTAAATGAATTTCTGCTGGAGAATATTCTTGGCTGTTCTGGAAATGCCTTCCCAAAGGTGAAAAACTGTTTTAAGCAGCTTTAGATAATGTTCGTGCATCCTGGAGTTTCAGAAGGAAATTTTTCTTCACCACAAATACATACCCTTATATTTACAGATTATGATGAGTAATTCAACATTGGTTTATGGTGCTTTTACTTAAATTTGAAGGCATCTTTCTGAGGTTTTGAAGTCCTCAAATTTCTTAGATTAAGAGAACATAGGACAAAAAATAAAAATAAAATTAAAAAATAAAAAAAAAAAAAGAGAACATAGGACGAGGCTTTCTCACCATATATATGCAAAACACCTCTGCAAGCTAGGAGATAATTGGGCTGTCTCACTGTTTTCATAAAGTCTCTAAAGGAATATAGCAAAAGTGGAATTATGTTTAGTAGCACCTCAACCAATTTTTAGATCTTGCTTATGAAGTAAAAATTTTAACATTAACATTTCAGCACAAAATAAAACTAGGGCCTGAAGTCTCCTTTAAAACAATATTTTAACATTCCATGTAAATTTTCTGACTTATTCTTGGTAACTTGCAAATACTACTATTTTTCTAAGTACCAAGGTATACCAACTTGCTGCTTATTGATGACATAAATTTTTGGATATTAAGATTTTAGTAGGTATGCAAATAAAATCCATCTCAAGGGAAAATGTCTAATACAACTTGATTTTGCCCCCAAAAGACTGAAAACTAATCTATTGATATTCATGCTGAATACCAAATAGTTAAATACTCACTTTTGTTGGTTTATACAGGTGGAGTTCTGGGGACTGTATGATACCTGGTAGTACACCTAATGGCTATATAATCTTGAGAAAATATCTTACTCTTGTTTGTAGCTTCCTCCTTTAGAAACAGATTTTTATCTGTGGTTTTCATAATATTTCATCAGTGAAACCTTTTTTTTCCCACAGTAAAATCTTAAAACCCTTGGGCCGGGGATTTAGCTCAGTGGTTTCACTGTTTGCTGCACAAGCGCAAGGACCCAAGTTCGATCCCCGGTACCAAAAAAAAAAGATCTTAATACCCTTATACACATGTGTACATGCACACACCCTACTCAACTACATAAATCATATTAATATAAATTCCCTTTATGTACTCCAGTGAGTAAATATTAAGTCAACCAGTGAAAATACATGATGTACAGCTGGTATAGAATATATTAGAATTTGTTGAGTAATAATTTTGATAGTTGTTTAAAAAAATTGGGGTGGGGTCAAAAGTTTTAATTCAAGTCAATTTACATATCCCTGAATCTTCTCCATTGATTCTTCTATGAAAAGAACTTTGTGATAAGTGATCCTCTGAGATGTTCTCCAACTCTAAAAATTTTAAATTGTCTTTTTGGATTAGACTTGCTGTGTTTAATTCAGATTGCCTAACTTTAAAGTGTTTCTGAAAATGAACAATGTGACTTTACAAGTTTTGGGGTCTTTCCAATATAGCTAATGATTTATTTTATCCCCAGAATCCTTCACCCTTAAAGGGATTATGGGGTGAGCCCAGTGACTTGATGTTGCCTGCACCTTTTTATCTTACAATATGAGCTCCAAGACACTAACTGATCTACTGTGAAATACAAAATGTCTTATACTAGCCTTATCAAATAAATGAACATGGGTCTCGGCTCACTTCATTAAAACTGGGTGATAATTCTTGAGCTGTGAATGTTAGGTAGGGTCTACTGTAATATCTAACCATAAATGTTGTAAATTTGTTTAATAGATGAAATTACATTTTTTTCTACTCTGTACAGCTTTGTCTTTTTTAAATATGAAGTACTTAAATGCATTTACTATGATAGGAAATATGTGTGCCTTCTAGGTTTTGTGAAATGGTCTCATGTCGTCTAAGGAATTTGTCTTATAAATTATACAGTGTTCTCTATCCTAACTCAGTAACAAAACGTTTACTCAAAATGCTGTAGAACTTTAGTTTGAGAAAATAAGTTTGACTAGTGCATTTAGAGGTTGATGGTAGTAGTATCTGTTTTATTCTTAGGAGAAAATGATAAATTGTGCAATAAATAATCTTTAGCAAGAAGTTTTTGCTAACTTCAAATATTTTTTTCTTATCATGTAATTTCACTTCCTTGTATACTAAATATTTATATTCCTTAGAGGACTATTTTATATTGTGCTCTGGGAGGGGTGTGATGTTTATGTGCTATGTCTTGAGATTAATTTCAAATTGGGCTTGATTTCCTTATATCTAATATATATCTAGATAATGACTCCTTGGAAATATCTTTTGGTTCAGTGATTTTAATATTAGGAAGTTGATTCATTAAAAGGCAGTCTGGAGAATTTGCATTTTTAACTGTTGTGTCTTTTTTTCAATTATTTATTTTTTTGAGACAGGGTCTCTCTATGTAGTTTAGGCTGGCCTTGAACTCACTGTGTAACCCAAGCTGGCTTTGAACTCGAAGATCCTCCTGCCTCAGCCTCCCAAGTGCTGGGATTACCAGCATGTGCCACCATGCCCAGCTTGTATCTTTATTTTCTTAACTGAACCTTATTGTCTACCAAAAATAAGATAACTACTTGGAAACTGGGGAGATCAGCTGATTACCCACATTTATGATGGACAACATAATGACAGTATAAACAGTTGAAAGACTTTCATTTGTTTTCATGTCTTTTTGTCCTAATGGTTAGCAAAAATAATTGATAAACTACCCTGTGGTAGTTTGGTGTTTACCTTGTAAAACCATATACAGGATATAAGAACGTATTAGAGAAGCATCTGAAAATCATAGTACTGAGAAGAGGAAAGACCTCTAAAGGAAGAGGCAGCTTATAATTAAATTTACTGAGGTATATCATGATTATACAGTACTGCGGAGAAATTCTGGTATTGACAAACACCTCAGAGATATATTTTGATAATCTTATAAGATGTTTATACTCTGACCTGTCATCCTCTAATAAAATACATCTTAGAGACTGAGGGTTGAAAACTTCCAAAAAACTGTATCTGATTTGTGTTCCATTTATGTAGGAGTTACTCTTTATAATAGTCATAGTTCAGGGATAATCACCAATATATCACTTTCACTTGTGTTTACAAACCTAGAAAGAGACGATATTGTTTCACCTGTTCAGTACAAGTAAAGAGGAAGCCAGGGTATGTACTTTCAACTCTGCTTTAATTCAGGAGACAGTAAAGGCCAAGAACAGACCTCAGTAAATAACAACCCAGAAGCTGAGATTTGTGTTCATCAGGCAAAGAGTAATGACAGTGATCATTTTGACAATACGATTTGAAGTAACACATAGAGCAAACTGAAGCCCTTTATAATAAATATGGGGTAACTACCTCAAAACCATTCCTTGAGAAGCCTGGGCACAGTATACCACTGCCTTTGATTCCATAGGGGGACACAAAGGAAAGTAGGGATTCACCCCCCAAAAGACCAGTAAAGTGCAGCAATGAAATAAAAATGCAAAGTACTCTAGAAAAGGATGTCTGAAAAGCTTGCAGGACAGGTAAAGCCAACACATGTTGACTGAACAGGCTACACTAATATCCCAGGAAAAAAAGATGAGGTGAGTGGCTTCGCTGATGAACTAGTAACAGGCTAGAAGTTAGAGAAAAGATAGCAAAGGTTACCTTCTGGGTCTAGTAAGCTTCACTAGTGAATGTTGTCCGTGTCTCAGTAAAAAAATAAATAGTTACTGATAGCTTTTCATTATGCCCAGTCTTAAAAAACAAACTTTTGCTTTAAGTATTAACTTGAAATAGTTTTAAATTGCTTCACAGACCTGACACTTTAATAATTTTTAAAATTCATGATACAGATAAAATAACAATGAAAAACTATACAGTACTTGCTGTATTGGGGCAAATGTATTCAAATGGAGGAATTTCAAAATTAATCCCTAAGATAATGACTGACTTTCATCAATTTCATAATTAGCTATAAGATAGCATATATATTTGCCAAGTACAAAAAGTTACATTTATTGTTCCATACACTAAATTGACGGCTGGATGGGCAGACAGTCACAGGACAAGATAATCTATGGTTTTGTTTTGGTTTGGTTTTTTTGTACCGGGGATTGAAATCAGGACCTTGGGCTTGTGAGGCAGGTGGCAGAACCACTGAGCTAAATCCCCAGCCCAGGACAAGACAATCTAAAATGAAGTAAGCATGTTCCCAGACAAAAATTGGCTTTGCCTAACTTTATAGTGATTCAAAGACTTCCTGTAGTCTGAATTTGCCCACAAATATTTAGAAAGATCCTTGAGCAGCTTGTTGAGTAATCAGTGCACATATCCTTAAAAAGTTGCCAAAAGAGAAATTCATTCAGTTATTCCATATGCATTTGAACACCTACTATGTACGAGGCACTAGTAACACAGATGAAAAGTACATTGTTAAAGCTTAACTGCGGATTGGTCTTTTATAAATGCTTTCTACCTGGCCCCTGGGACCACTATGTCATCTGAAGAAGTCTTTGTTTTAGGTAAGGGAGAAATTTTGCCTTTAACAAAAATGTGCTAGGTTATAGTGGTTTAAAAAAAAATTAACATTTGTGAGACTACTGGACCTAATTCTAGTACTGTTACTAGTAGTGTGACCTTAAGCAATTTCACTTCACTGGCCTAACTCTTCATGGGTAAATGATAATTGGGCTACAAACATAGGATATTTATAGCCAAAAGAAACACAGGTCACCTGGTCTGTGCTTTGCAACACCCTTATTTCAGATGAGAATACTTAGCAGGCCCACTGTAAAACTGATGAAAGCAGAGTCACTTTGACTGCTACCAGAACCTCACTCTGTTTTTTTCCCCAACCCTGGAATGGTCCATGAGCGGGGATTCACAGTACATTTGAAAACACTTGTCTAGTCCAAACCCTCACTTTCAGGACAAGGAAACCAACACAGAATACGAGTGACTATTCTTAGTACATACAGCTTCCTACTAGAAAGGAGCAAGGAGGGCTAAACAAAACAGATTAAGAAATGGTCAAGAAGGGAGCCTTCTATTTTCTCAAAATAGCCCCTTTATGAAAGGGAGCTTTGAAGTAGATTTTATTTAAGGCATCCAGCCAGCCGGAGGCTGAAATGAACAACTACCAGCTTGCCTGCAGGGCATATAAAAAGGAGTGTGACAAAATCATACATACCTCATGCCTTTTGGCATTTGACCATGGAAAATCCTGGCCCCACCAATTCAGGCACTGGCAGTTAAAAGAGAAATATGTGGAAAATTAGGAACAAGTAGAGACAAGTGCCAGCTCCCAGATCACCAAGGAGAAGTCACCAACCCTTACTCAGAAATATTAACACAAGTGGGTATGTTCGGTCTTAAAGTGAACAGTGCAACCAAAATCATGAGTCTGAAATTCTTCTAGCAGTATCCTCTTCACAGAGGAAAGAAAGCCTTTGTTTGGTGTCTTGACCACAATAGCCCCAGCAGGTCTGAAATTAAACCAAAAAGTTAAGATGCAAGTTGCTTGCTGGAGCTAGTTGTTCAGGGCTGTGATCTCTTCTGATTTCATGGCATCAGACAGGAAGCTGAGCTCATTGCATAGAGTCTCATATCGGAATGCCATCCGGATCTGTGCAACATTTGTCTTTCGAATATCGTTTCCCTCAGGTCCTTCTTTACAGTAATTCTGTCCTAGAAACTTCTGCTTTTCCTGTGGATCAAGAGAAACACCAATGAAACAATATACTTTCGACCCACTTTCTATATCCACATGGGCAGCTTTGCCATTATCCATAGCACACAGTATCCTTCCTGAAGCAGATCCTCAATCAGGACATCCCCCCCAGGACTCAAAATATCCCTTCCAGCCTCTGTGTCTGAGAATGTCACCCTGTCATCCTCGGTCATTCCCTTTATTCCTAGGATTTTCTTGATCAGAAAGGAAAGAACTGCAAGAGCTGCCAGAGATGGAGAAGGTAAGGTGAAGTTGTTGAGGCTCCTCACCTCCTGGGAGGTGACAAGGGCAGACAGGTGTGTCTGAGGAGGACTGATCCCAGGAACAACTCCACACAAAGAACCTTGACCTTTCACCCTTCAATGTCTAGTGCTCCATTTTTGGAGCACCCATAACAATGCAACGTAATTTTTTCTCCTCAAATTCTTGTTTCTTGAGTTTTTCTAGTTAACATATGAATTTCAGGAAAAATTTTTTCAAAACACTGCAGTCTTTGGCATAAACGGGTCAACTCTTCCTTGCATCATCATCCATAAGGGCAGCACCTACTGCCACCTCTTCCTGTACCAGTGACATCCAAGGTTGCTGCCAGGGACCTGAGCTACCATCCAGAGCACAGTTCTCAATGCTGGTTCCATATCAAAATCATGCAGCAAGCTGTACAAATATTGCTAGTGCCCAGGTCCCACCCCCAGAGTGTTTTTAATCCAATCTAGATGTAGTCATCTACCCCAGAAGTACCATACCTGATGTGAGAGGCCGCTCTGCAGCACACTGTTCCTGGCGATCTCACACAGGTCACACGTGCTCAGCTTCCACACTTGTGCAGCGATGGCGTATTCCTCCATGAGTGCCTCCTAGATCCCGCCCCAGAGGACACGGATCAGATTTCACCTTTCCTTTCCAGCTGGAACCTCAATCATCAAAATCACACCTTACATTCCAAACTCTCGTGCGTGTGTGTGTGTGTATGTGTGTGTGTGTGTGTGTAATTGCAGGTCACCAAACAATTAAAAGAATACCTCTGCATTTGTTTGTTGACCAGAACTGAGGGCCTATCATGTTCAAAGCTCAGGGCTAGTCATCAGAGGGATGCCAGGCTCTCTCTCCTGTGACAATCCTTGTTAAAGGGAACGTTTCCTGGACTAGCTTAGTAGTTTATTAAGAAAAAAAAAAAAAATAACTCATGAAGAGAGTAGCTCCTCTAACCCAGAGCAGATTCTGAGAATTCCAACCAATATGTGACCCACAGTATTTACAGAAAAACAGAAGAGAGGCACAGAAAATAACTTAATTGGCTTCAGCTTAGTCAATTGGTTACAGTTGAACTAGTTTGTTGTATACACTTTAATCAGTTAATTGGTTCCAGGGACCCTTGTAAGCAACCAAAGTTCAGTTACTATGACTGCAGTTTACATTCACTTGGTCTGTTGGGCCCAATGGAGGTTCATGGTCTACATCCATGGCCTCCTACAAAATTTTACTTAACACCTCTCTAGTCAGATACATTTTTTTTTTTTTTGGTACCAGGGCTCGAACTCGGGTACTTGCGCTTTCAAAGCAGGCAGTGGAACCACTGAGCTAAATCCCTGCCCCCTTCCCAGATAACATTTTTAATACTACTTGTTCTTCAGTCCTGCTTTTTATTCAACACCATTTTCTTAAGATTGCCCAAAAGTAAAAGTTTGTATGAGTAAAGTACTCAGAGCAGAGAGGGAACATTAAATGAGAAATGATCCTAGTACAAGTGAGGAGATAGCGTAATCCCAAAAGGACTGAGTTTGAGCAGTGGTCCTAATTTATCTTCTGGCATGTGAAATAGCTGCCATTAATCACCAGCCCTTCCAAGATCTCTTCCCTCACTCACCCTCTCGCCTCTGTCCCCGAGACCAGTGGTTTTCAAAGTGTGATCCCAGGACCTTTGGCAACTAAAGACCTTTTGAAAGGTCCTCCCTTTGCCAACTATGTATCTTTGTGATGTGAGGTAATTTTCACAAGCTTTGATAAAAACAACAAATCGAATGCAGAAGCGGATATGGGAATCCAGCTGTCTTCTATTAAGTAAGGCAAAGAGATTTGCAGAATTACAAAACAATGCCACTCTTCTTGATATTTTTGTGCTGGGAAAGTTATTTTTCATAAAATTGCTATTTATATAACAAGTCTATTACTGTTATTTTTAAATGAGTTAGTGTTGTGAATGTTTTTCATCAGTTTCTAACAATAGATACAACCCATATAGGGCTTCAGTTCTTCCAGAGTATAAAGAGATCCAGAGACCAAAAGGCTGGAGAAACTCTGCCCTAAAAGACTTCGGATCCTTCCATTTTGCTGATCAGTGCCTGGTCTTGTTGGCACTCTCAGAATGTGCTAAGGACACTCATGGCTGGTTCCCATGCATGACATCACCCTTCCCTTCTTTCTTCCCAGAGATCTAAAGTGCAATAATAACCATAGTACAATAAAAAGGCACCTAATATTTTGAACACATGCTACATATTAGACCCTATTCTATTAAATTGAATTCACTATCTTAATCTCCACAAGTAGAGGCAAGCGTATGCCCTATTTTACAGATGAAGAGGAATTCAATATAGAGAGGGCTCATAAGTTTACCAAGGTTATAGAACTGGTAAATATCAAAGAGAGGGAAAATACAGAAAGACAAATCCATTATCGCTTCAAAAAGGGCTCACCCTTTGCCTTCACTGGACCACCAACCCCACCCCAAAAACCAAACTGACATGGGGCATAGGTCCCCATGGTGGAAGGGCAGGATTGGACCAAGGACGCTGGGACAACACGGCCCCTCCCCTGGAGCCCTCACCTTCGTGTAGTGGAACTGCATAGGGTCATCGGTGGAGAGGGAGACATGCAACCCCTTGTGCAGGAATTCCCGCAGGGGGTTCTTGGAATATTCCAGGAAAAGGCTGTTGTTGCTAAGAGGAGACATGGCAATGGGGATCTGGGCAAGGTAGTAGAGGTACTGCAGCACTGGACTCTGCAAAAGAACCACCAAACTCATGCGACATATGCAGGGAGGGACAGGAGAAACGTTCAACAGTGGAAACCAGAACTTGGGCTGGGTCTGTACCAGTCAAGCCTGAGTTTCCCAAAGCCACAACTTTCAGACTCATGTTGTCTTTCCCTCCCTGGCCCCATTTCTCTCATTCCTATGTCACATGCCAGCCCTCCAGGCCTGGCCCTCCTCTCCACTGTCTGAAGTACCCATTCCTGGCTCCAAGGGGAGGCACTGCTTGGGGCAGAAGGGCAGTGGCTTCAATCAGCATCTTTGGCTCTCCTTCCCCAGGCCCTGACCCACTGCAGTCAGGCCTCCAGATGCCCCATGGGGGTGGCTTTGTTGCTCTGACTGTAAACCTTCTAGCTGGAACTGTAACTACTCTAGCCCTTTGGAGACATACCCCAAAGGCTGGGCAGGGGTGGACCTGGCCAGGCTACAGTGGTCTTCTGATAAGCAGCACACATCTTACACCTAAATGTGACGGGAACCTGGACCTGCCAGGATCAGGGCAGGGAAGCAACGGGAGCAAACTGCACTCCTGTGGAAATGACCCAAAATATGGGAAGCTTGAGCGAATGCCCAGCGTTCACGGCAGCACATTTACATGGGAAAAGCCAGATGAACACTGTGTGTCCACCGCTGGGAACTAGTGGAGCCAATTATAGACCAAGTGGCCAATGGCTCATTCAAAGGCCTGCAGAGTGAGGAATTTAGGTATTATGTGCAGCACAGAAAAATGCTTGTTATACAACATCAAGGGACAAAGTCGGAACCAAAATTCTGTGTTTATTATAAGCAGATTAAAATATGGAGTTTATAAAAGATAAGAGTTGGACATACTAAAAGGCTAAAAGAGCTGATTCTATAAGGTAATAGCAATAAGGATTTTTTTTTTCATTTCTCCATTTTTTGGAAAATCTAAATTGGAATGTGTTTAGCTATACTACTTTCATAATTAAAAATGAAACCAAGGTGACTACAGACATCTCACCTAGAGAAAATCACTGTCTGGAGCTTTCAAGGGCTGGGCGGGAGCCCCAGAGAGCCCAGGGCAGCACAGTCCCCAGGGACAGGGCAGGCTCCTAAGAGTGGCCACTTACCTTCTTGAGGAGCAGCCCATGGGAAATGTTGTCGGCAGTGAGAAAGGCAGACACCAGATGGGTGATGGAGCCGGCCTCCCCACAGTGAGGCCGGAACAGGAACGTGCTCAGGCCCCGTTCTCTGGAGAAGAAGGAAGGTCCTGGGTCACGCTGCCTGGGGCCTGCACCCCAGCGCAGGGCCCACTCCAGGAGAGACAGTCGCCCATGGCATGGCGGGCACACCTCAGAGAGGACCCCTCTTAAAATACAGGGGTCTATCCCAGAGCCCCTCAGGGCCAACAAACATGTCCTCTGGGGCAGAGAGGGGCCTTGTGGAAGAAAGGGAGCCTTCCTGTTCTCTATCCACTCCTCTCCCCCCACACTCCTCACCAGGCCTTGGGTCACCAATCAGCTCCAGGGCAAGAAACACCATGAGAAACCAAGTCCAATTTCTTTGTTACAAAATTGGGCAAACCAAGGCCCAGAGAGTAAAGTCTGTGTTCAGACCCAATAAATAGGTCACTGGCAACTAGAACTAGAACCTTCACCCTGAAAAGCTCAGCCTAGGACTGCCATTACACTAACACTAGGCCTCTGCTTTCTATCATGGCCCAATGCTAATGAAGCCCCCGGACCCAGCAGGGGCAGGTGAGGGGCAAGACTTATAGAGAGGGGACAGTTCAGCGTCCTGTGGCTCTGGGCATGTAAGCCCTGCCCATGCATGCCTCTTTGTGTGTGTCAGTGGCAGCCTGTGCATATAAGACCATCCATGAGGCATCTATGGACAGGCTATTTGCCTCCCCATTATCTGCCCAGTGTCTAGGACTGTGCCTATCACACTGCAGCTGCAATAATCTGTTGAGAGCATAAATGATTGTGTGGATATTGTTGGTGCAGTAGTAAGCGAACAGGCATGTATGGGCATGACCTGTTTCCACTGTCTCAGAGATGTACAGGTACACATGGAGGTGTGTTGGTGACTGTGTACATATGAACATGTGTGTGTACATGTGTGGTGTGCAGCTTCATTGTACATACAATCCATGTCCATGCTGGCATGTGTGTTGTAGTAGGCGTGTCTGTGTGTGTGCGTGATCATGTGACATGCTTGTGCAGTATCCTAGGGAGCATCCCTGTGGACAAGTGGACATGTGTAGGCTGAAGTACACACAGACACAATGGATCACATATGAATGCAGGCTCATGCAGGGGCCAGCTCGCTCACCGCCGAAGATTGTTGAGCACCATGATGTTGGCATACATGTAGTACAGGTAGTAGCTGTAGGGCGGATTCTGCTCACTGGTCCAGATGTCTGGGCTGGGGCTCTTCTCTGAGAACATGTGGTCACTGTGTTTGGACTCATCATCCACACTGTCAAACCCTGTCACCTGGGCAGGAGAGGAGGTCCTGAGCACCAAGGCAAGGCAGGAAGGCCAAGACTCAGGCTCAGCTCAGCATCCAGTGGCTCAGAGCTAAGCTGCCCAAGGCCTCTCAGGTGTGGACCTCGGCTGGGCCCGATTCTGGCTAAGGCCACATTCCTCCCAGGTACCACTGCACATTCTGTCCCCTCAGAGTTTCCCAAGGTACCCAGAAGGCCAGGCTGGAGAGTGCCCTGCCCCTGCGTGGCAGTGGTGACAGTGGAAGAATTCAGGCTGGGCCAGAGAGAGGCAGCCATATCCATTGCCTGTCCCTCTACTGTGCCCAGGAAGCCAGCACTGCAAGGGATAGTAGCCACTGCCAGCAGCAGCAGTGACAAGCTGTGACAGGGAAGGGGACCGCCTACATGTCATGCACCTACACACCAGGTCCTGCTTGAAGCCCTTCACACTCACCAGCTAATTTAAAGCTCAGAGTCACACCATGGGGGAGGGGTGGCCTATGAGCCTCATTCTACAGTTGAGCAAACCAAAGCCAAAGTGATGAAGGAAGTTGCCCAAGTAGGACATCTGGGTCCGGCCTTTGGGGTTATAGGTGGAGGATGCCTTGGCACATGTCCAGGTGTGGCCTCGAGACACCAGCTGGATGCCTCACAAACAGACCCAGAGGGCCCTGGCCAGGCTGACCCACAGCTCCCAGAGGCACCTCTGTTTCCTTATGCAAACTGACCCTCGGGCCAGTCAGAGGAGCCTCAGGAAGCTTCCCCTTCCACTGCAGCTGGGCTTCAGCTGGGACCCGGCCCTAAGCCTAGAGTCTCCCCCACTTTCAGTCTCCAGGCTGGGCTCCCAGAGCCTTGTGACCAACCCCAGAGGTACAGCCCAACCAAGAATCAGCCACAAACACAGCTTTTGGCCAGCACCAAACAGGTCTCCTTCCTTTCGCTCAGCCACAGAAGTGTTCTGGGAAGGGGCCCCTGCACCCCAGACAGGAGAAGGAAAGACTGTTCCCCTCATTCCACGGCCGACCCAAACTGGGAATGGGGCTCCCAGCCCAGGGCCCCTAGTTTGCCAGCCTCTCACTTCCAACATGGGTGGGAGGAGTCCAAAAGAGCAGGGACCCATGAGGCTGTGTTCAAGGAGACATCAGGTCCTCCCCGTGGCTCTTAGCGGCCCCTTGTTGGGACTGGGGAGCTGGGAAGGGCCTTGAGCTCTGATCGTCTCACCAGCCCTGTATGTCACCGGAACACTCGGGGGCCTGGCGAGAGGATGAGGCCAACCAGGGCCTCACCCTCCTCCTCCTCTTCCTCTTCGGCCTCCCCATCCACCTCGTGCTCTCCTTCCTCCCCTAACCCCTCCCAACCATGACCAGTCCCGCTCTTCCCCACTATGGTCAGAGGCTTCCTTGGGGCACGGAATCCACTGTCCTACAAAGCCAGCCACGTGAGGCATACGGGGCTCCTCCAGTCCCTGCCCAGGTCGTCAGGAGTCTGCTCGGCCCTTTTCTGCACGCCCACCTCCTCCCAGAGTCCCTGCCCTGCCCTACACAGGGCCACGGGCTCATTCCCCACACGGAAGATGGTGAATAGATTCCAGTTCTGCTACTTTCTAGCTCTGAGACTCTGTTTGATTTCCTCCACTGTGAACCTGGAGCTAGTGGCTGCTTGAAGCTCTCGTGAGGATTAAGGGGGGAATCCCTGGGGACCCTTCCCACAGCCTCTGGGACAGTGACGGTGAACCTTTGAGAGCTTTCACTGATACAAACAGCCTCTGCGGCACTCACGCCACACATTTGCCACCTCTGCTCTAGGACACAGCACCACACAGGACTGCTCTGCTGACAGCAGATGGAGACAAAATGGGATAACTGTGAGGCTGAAGCGATACTGGGGTAGTGTACAGCTGGCCGGGCGGCAAGCACTGGCAGATGCAAGCTGTTACCAAGGATGCAACGTCCGCCACGTCCACAGGGCTGGAGTGTCCCCTGCCTTTCACCCTGCCCCTCCCCCACCTGCAGCCGCCCTGTCCCAAGCCACCCTCAGAACAACAGCTTGAGGACACGCACCAAAAACACAAATCCAGTCGCTTTCCCAGCAGTCCCTACGCACCCAGACTCAATACGCCCCCCAGGGCCCCTCCCTGTCAAATGTCACCCTGCCCTACATGATGCTCCTCCTGATGTCCCTTTTATTCTGGGCATCCAGAGGGAGGGGCCTTCCCCTCCCCACCTCTCTTTCTCCTGAGTCTCCCTCCTTCCCTTCTCCTTCTCTCCTATAACTACCCAAACATGGAAGAGAAGTACATTTTGAGGGTCTTGTACCAAATCAAACACGGTGTGAGGACCTCTCCAGGTAAAAGCAGTGGAGTTGAAAAGCCTGCATTTCTAAGACCACGGCAGCAGCCTGGTGCGGGCTGGGGCAAGATCCACTTCTCCTGTCCCCGCCCTTGGCCCCTGCTCCCCTTCCCAGCTAGGATACAGCCTGCCTCAAGAACACGGCCACCCATACCCAGGGCTGCCTCTGGGGAGAAGGGGATGTCCCCTTCAGGGGAGGCGCCCTTATTTCACAAAATCAGCTTACGGGTGCTGGCAGCCCCGTGCCTGGGGCCCAGGGGAAACAGGAACTGAGAAGGGGAGCCATGGTGAGGGACAGAAGGAAATCTGACCCAAGCCACAGGAAACATGCCCATCCTCTACCACAGTGAGCTTGTCCCAAGTGCCAACCACACTTACATATTTGAGGAAGAGGTGAAGCTCCCGGTGATCTTGGGGGTTGATTGTGGCCTTAAAAAGGGGCAGGAAGATGTTCTCCAGCATCTTCCCAAAGCTTGGCAGCAGCTTCTTTGACCTAAATATGTCACTAGGGGAAGCAGAGACTTGTCTTTAGGGAGGCTTACAGTCCCCTTGACCTACCAGAGATTGGCCGCAGCCGCTTCCCCAGCAGCCTGCATCCCAGTGAAGGCCCCAGAGTGGAGCCAGCCTTGGCCTTTCCCCTCCCCTCCCAGCATGCTCTGCAGTACCAGGCAGCAGTCTGCAAACTCAATGCCTGCCCATCCCCATCAGGGCACGGTCCCAACCCAGAGGCCATTCCGGAGTGGGACAATGGGATTCAGTCTGAACAACAGGAGGGGGAGCTCTCAGACTTCCCAGGGATCCACACTGTGCCTGCCTCTCAGCTCTGAAACCCTAAACCCCACACCGAGACCACCTGGAGAGGACAGCAGTGCTCTGAGTGATGCCCCGGGAGATGTCAGCAGGGTGGGACAGTACCAGGTCACCTTGTACCCCAGGGGCTCCTCCAAACCCTCAATGAGAAGGTGGGGAGGGGGTTCCCCTAAGGCCTTGAGACAGATATATTCTTTGAAAGAACAGGAGTATGACTGTCATGAGGACATCTATGCCAAACAGTCCTCCCTGGGGAGGAGAGAGCTAACAGGCCCCAGGACAGGACCCACCCTTCCAAGGTACAGACTCGGGAGCCCATCCAGACCATGCTGCTGTCCCCACAGGGACTGCGGCAGTCATCAAGCACCTCACTCACTAGATCCGGGGCACCTGGATGATCCAGCGCATGTTGGGTGAGTAGACCTTGTGCTGGATGAACCAGCGGGCCAGGTTTTGCCACTCCTGTGGGCTGCGGCCATAGATGGAGAGCCTCGGCTCTGAGTACTGGTACTTGCTCTCCTCCAGCTCCCGGGCCACCTCCTGGCACCAAGAAAAACCAACAGAGTGAGCAGCCCAAGAGCCCTCAGCAACATGGGAGACTCCTGCTTCCAGCTGGGTCCCTGGCTCCCTCAGCCACCTACCACCAGCCCAGGAGGCTGATCCAAATCCCTGTGCTGCTGGCTGCCATGCAAGCCCTCACTCCCCAGCCAAGGCTCCTTCCTGGGAGAAGGCCTTCCATCTGCACCACCTCTCTGCAGAACCAGGCCGGGCAGCAGCAGCATCTCCACACAGAGCCAGCCTGCGCCCAGCTATATTCAGGCTGCAAAGAGTCAGGGCACAGCCCCAGGATGCACCAGACTCTACCGGGATGGATACTGTTCCCTCCCCTTGCCTGCAGTCAGCACACACTGCATCACCTTCCCATGCCCAGCAGCAGGCAGCCAGGGCCAGGGCACCAGGGCACCAGGGCACCTCAGGACTTGCCTGAGCTGGATGGTGGACAGAAGGGGACTGGGGAGGGGAAGGGGACAGGAGGCCATGCAGGGTCCCCACCTCTAACACCAGACACCTTGAAGGGGCCTCAGAGAGGCTAAGAGCTCACTCACCTTCACCATCCGAGCAAAGTACTCTCCTCCCAGGTAGTTTTCAGTTTTCAAATACAGGTCACGGAGCTCACTGGCCCCCACAGGGTTGTATTTGGAGTTGAACTTGTCAAAGCGATGGAATGTCTGCCGGCCCTGGGAGGAGACCGCCAGCAGGTCACCACATCGGTCTGCAGCCACCACACACATTCTCTTCCCCTGGCCTTTACAAGGAGGCCTTATGTGTGGCCACCCTGAAAGATAACTTCCAAGTGGTTTCTTACAGGCAATCTTGAAATGCCTGAGGGCAAAAGCCACATATCTTTCCATGGCCAACCACAGGGCCCTTCGGTAAGGCCCTCTATGAAGGAATATCAAGGGCCTCATGCTCCAAGGACTTATGGGAAGGAATATGGCTGGCTTAAGGAGCACAGGACCATTGAGCAACCACCAACAAAGTGTTTACTCTTCCTTTTAAGGCTAAATAATATTCTATTGCTTTCTGCTTGAAGCACTGGGGCCAAAGCTCACTCACTGCATGGACATCCAGCGAATCCACGGTGAGATCATAGGGGTCCATGTGAAGGCTGTCGAACACCTGCCTCAGGGTGACCTTCTGGCCCAGCTTCTCGGCCACAGTTCTGTCGGGCTCCGTCTGGTATGTGTGCTTGATGAAACGCAGCAAGTGCTTCTGGTTCATGCAGGCCGCTGCATGGATGTGCGTGTCCACCTGGAACGCAGTGCCCAGCAGCTTGTGAGTGGGGCCCCATTCTCCGGTACTGTATGGTCCCTCCCTATTCCGATGCCCCAGTGCCCTCCCCATGTCTCCTCTAGACTTCAGAACTGGCTCCCCTCCCTTCAGCCTTGCCGTCCAGTCCACCTCCTGACAGCATCAAGAGACCTTTTCATGCACATTGGATCAGGCCACTCCTCTTAACAAATCACTGATGGCCCCAGCACCCTCAAGGTAAAGCTCAGTGCTCCTGGGATTCAGGACTACTTTAGGCCTTACCTCTCACTTGCCACTGCCCACTATATGCTCCAACTACAGCAAACTCCTTACAGTGCTCAGGGCACCAAGCTACATCATACTCTGAAACTTCATGCATGTATTTCTCAGCCTGAAATGTCTTCCTTCCACCCCACCAATCCCTTCCACATGGAAGCCAATCTTGGTACCATAGGCACAACTAATCCAATCTCCCTTGCCCAGTCTGGGAGCCTGGCACAGATTCTCACTGCTGGGTGCATCCTCCTGCCCACTCTAATATGCTCTGTCTACTCCTCCACCAGCCTGGGAGCTCCTCAAGGACAGGAAACATGTCTAATGTACCCAGGTCTCCACCATCTACCCCAGAGACTGGTATCAAGTATCATGTGAACCAATGGATGGATGAACAAACTAAAGGAACCAATGAAATAGGGTCTAATAGTTTCAATGAAATCCATACCCTCAGGGCCCACCAGTTGCACCACCAAACCCCACTCTCCCTGTTGACCTCTGTGGAACACTCAAAGGCATCCTCAAAGTGAAGTCCCAGGTGGGGGCAAGTAGAGAAGGCAGCCACACCCCACCCTTCTCAGCCAGTTCCATATCAACCAAACCCTTGCATCCAAACCCCAATTAGAATCAGCTCTCCTGACCCTAGGCCAATATGTGGGCTCAGATCTTAGAGCAAATCCTAACTTGCGGAAAGGCACTGACAGCTTGGACTTCTGTACTCAAGGAAGGCACCAGGAAGGAGCTTCAGGATCTCAGAATCCATCATGGGACCTCTTACATCTAGATCATGCTAAGTTCCCATGACAGCAGATGGTCCCCTTGCCTCTCTGGCTTCTCCTTTGCATCTCCTCAGACAGGTTGGTCCTCACTACCAGACCTCCCAAATGGTCCTGGGCCCTCTTCTCCTCTCACTATACAATCTCCCCAAAGGTTATCTATTCTATCTGTGCCCTTAATTTCCTTCTTTACACCAACTCCCAAATGGTTATCATCAGCCCAAAGCTCCAGTACTCTCGCACACCTGCTGTTTGACATCCATAAGTAACTCAAAGGCGGTTCAAATCTAATGTATCCAAAAATCGCTGGCCCCGGCCCAAACCTGACTATCTCCCAGGTTTCTTCATTCCAGGAAATGGTATTCCCTACACCTAGTTCTTCACCCTGGAAAGCCAGGCGTCACCTCCATCTTCCTCTCTAGACTCCCTCAACACTGGTCAGTCCCATCAACTCTACCTCCCAAAGAGATGCAAAGCCGCATAGTGTTTGCCAGTCCCACTATCACTGCCTGAGTCCAAGTCTGCACGGCCTCACTCCTGAGCCCACACTGACCTCATCTTGCCACTTTTTCTCTTGCCCTGGTTCAATCCATTCTCCACACATAGAAGATAGAATGGAATTAGTTACACAACTTGATTCTGTTTCCAAATGCTCTCATTAATCTTAGGATGAGGCCCGCATTGAGGTCACCTGATCCCTACCCATCATCCCATCCTCCTCAGCCCCACCCTCCACTCACTGGACAGATATCTGGTGAGCTGAGGAGTGGTCTGAAGTCGCAGCCGGCACCCTGAGCCCCTTCCATGAGCCCAGAGGCCTGAGGGAGGCCCCCAGGGAGGGCAGCAGCCTCACAGGCCTGGGCGCCGACAGCCACCAGCTTGCATCATGGAGTTGCTGCCCTGGCTGACCAGGCTCTCCGCCAGGGCTGGGGTGAGGAGGCACTGACCTCAGGCCAGGGTTTGCTGACAGCCGAGGTGGGGCATCTCCAAGCCATGCCACAGCAGACATCTGATCGACTGGGCCTCTGTGTGTGTCATCCCAGCCACCCACGTGCCTAGGCCACATCACTCCCTCTCCCCTTCCAGCCAGCCATCCTGCCACTCTTACCAGACAGACCACCAGACATGAGAGAAATGAAAGAACTCCCCAAGGCACGATGCCAAGGCTCGGGAGCCTCAGGGATGACATCAGCTCGTGCAGGGTGCACAGGAGAAGGGTCAGCCTGACTTAGTTCCGCTGGACACAGCCTTGCTCTACCGCCTCAGCATGACTCAGCACATTCCAGGCTTCTGTGGTCTCCAGCTCACCAGGGACACACCACAGGGGGCTCAGCCTGTCCCTAGACCCATGAGTCACAAGATAAAGAAGAAACCAACTGGACAACCCGGAAGCACCCAATCTAAGCTTCAGAATCTCAGAGGTGATTATTTTAGGAACAAGTCAAAGAGGCTGTCATTGGAGGTCAGTGTTTTCAATTCACCAGAAGATTAAAAAAACAACATTGCCTGCTCTCACCTACAATCTAGGTCTGAACAAATACTAGAGCTTCCAAACAGGACTGGCCACCAGCTGGGCCCTGAGCTGACCCTGGCCATTTCCATACCCAAGGCAGATGTCAGTAAACAACTACACCACCCCTTTCACCAGACTTCTGGAAAAGTCTCAGGGCCACTCCCAGCAGCTCAAGTTTGGCACAGATGATGAAACCTATTTGCTATCCCTAAAGTGAAACTCTAACCAACGTGGACAATGCCCAATCTACCCAGCTCCTAAGCAGCAGACACACTCAGCCCTTCTATAAGGGGTGGTCAAAAAATAGGGCGAATGTTTACATTTTTTTATAATTTCTTATACTCAAAGACACATTGCCATTAATTCTCAAGACACTCCCCCTTGTTTTTGAGCACACTTATTCCCATCATTCTTGCCACTTCAGAAGCAGTTCTGAAAGTCTTCTTTTCATGAGTGTCTTTATGAAGTATGATCAAAAATCGGGTGAATGCTGTCCCAAGTACCATCCAACAGAAAGGCAGGCTTGTAAAAACGCCACAGTGTGCTGATCCTGCAGGTTGGGCCTCATAGTGTCATAAGCCACTGCCCCACACAGACTCATGGCCATCCCATAGCCCGGCCCTGATCTACCCCAATGACACAGCAGCCACCTCAGAAATAGGTAGGGGCTAGGGATGTAGCTCAGTGGCGCCACACCTGCCTGGCAAGTGCAAGGTCCTGAGTTAGATGCCCAGTACCAGAAAAAAAAAAAAGAAATGGGGAGGCTGGGGAGGCCTTCTCTTAGCCCACTCTGGACTTCAGAAAGCTACAGTCCTCCCCACAGTGGAGGCTTTGATAGTGAGAAAAAGCAGCCAGCACGCAGGACACAGGCTCCCCCTAACCAGAGGTGAGCATAAGCCTATCTCATTGCCTAGGTACACATTACAGACTAATTGTGGTACCAGAGAACAGGCCACTATGTCACCACACAAGTATCAAGGCCCCCTCTGTCCAGAGAGTACATTAACCCCAAGGAAACCCTAAGGATCGCCTGTCATATGGACCCACAGCCCCACCACAGGGTTCTTTCCCACATCATGGCAGGGAGCAGCTACGGAGCCCAGGACCACCTGTTGGGCCACCTCAGAAGTGAACAATGTTGCAACACTTATTCCTAAGGTAACAGGCCAGGAACTTCTTGTCGATCAGAAGTGACTCTTGCTCACCATCAAATGCCCCACACTCAGTGCTGATCCCATCCCTCTCTGTGTATTACTTATATGGGAAAAAATGGAAACGCTGGAGGGCATGATTGGCTAACATACACACCTGCTCCTGTGGCCACCCCTACAGGCTGAGGGTGCCAGGTGCTACTCAGCCACTCAATGGGTAGAAGAGGAACAGAGATAGGAGCATGCTGGGTGCCTTTCTTTAAATATACCTGATCCAAGGATGTACAATCATGAAGTCCCAAATCCAACGAGGTCATAACACATTCCCTACCCTAAAGTGGCCTGTGCTCCACTGTAATAACCAATTAACAAGCTGTGCCCTACTTCCCAAGGAAGAGGCCACAGTCCACAGAGGCACCACACATTATACTCTGCCCAAGAAGGGCCACCTGTAACTAGGAGCCTTGGTGCTCTCCTAGGATGCCAGCCCCAGACTGGCTCAGGGCATCCCTGTGCCAGGACGGGGTCAGGCAGTGGCTTAAACACCAGCTGCTAACCCACCTTTCTCACGTTATAGAAGTCTCGGTGGGGGTTACTCTTCAGCTCTTTGAACTCAGACATTTCATTTAACATCTCATGAAGGCTGAACTTGGATTCCAGAAAATTCAGTCTCCGGTGACAATAGGTTTTCCTGTAGGTTGAGGATGGGGAGAGATCACAGGTGAGGAGAAGTCACATTAAACTCAGTTTGGAGACCTCCAGCATGGGCAGCCAACCCCTGGGTGAAAAGGTCAGATCAGAGAGGACAGGGCTAAGAGGCTCCCAGCTTTCTGTAGACCTGAACTGGCTGAACTGGTTAACATCACTGTGTGCCCCAGAGTGAGCAGAGTCACACAAGGGGCGATGCAGAGCCACCTTTGGGACCCCATCCAGTTCTTTGACTTCTAGCTCTCTACATTTAGTCAATTAACCAGAAGCCTCCATTCTTATGAATAAATATCTCATGAATAAAAATTGAGACAGTAATGCCCAAAGCTGAAGTGAGGGTTAAATTGGCTCCTGCCAGTGATAGGCCTTGACTCTCAGCAGAATAGATGCTCAATAAGTCTCACTCCTTAGATGACAAGAAATGAGGAAGTAGACTTTCAGAGATGGGGAGGGGGATCAGTGGGAAGGAAGAGGAAAAAGACAGGAAAGTAATGGAATTGAAACTGATTAAGATACATTAAATTCATATATAAACTTCCCAAACAAATCCCATCATTATGCAATATTAACACGCACTAATTATGTCTCCCTTCTTCCACTCTTCCTCTCTTTTCTCCCTCCCATCTATCCTCAGTCACCTTTAATTCCTTAAGGCAGAAATAAATAGCCCAGAATATCAATAATACAATCAAAGTATAAGGCATGGCCTGGCCACCTTGGAATGTAGAGGTTCCACTCACCCTGACCAAATGTCCTCAAACCCCAATGTCCCCAAATCCTCAACTCAGTGACTTCAGGACCAAAGGAGGACTTTTTTTGCATCATGAGCAAACTGGGAATACAGGGGCATTTGCTACCAGGATAGAAACCTCTGTAGGGCTGATGCCCCCAGGTCCCCACCAGCTCAGAGAAGGTGATCACAGGTAGGCAGGTTTTCTCAGCCAGGAGAGGTGGGAGCTCACTGCTGCACCCAACTGCCACCTCCCCAACTCAGGTGCCTGGCCCCGTGCCTGAGTCCTCAGCCACACAGAACCTTCAACTTCCAATCATATCACCCTGCTTCCTCATGGCCTCAAAACAAACAGCAGCTGTTTTGGCATCAAGTCACCTAGGCTCCCATAAAGAATACCTGCCAACACAACAATAGCCCCAGAGCCCCAGGGTAAGCACAGGAGAGTCACAGAGAAGCAGGGAGTGTAAAGGTCATGTTAGCCAGTCTTTCTCCCAGGGAGGATCTCTCCTTGACAACCTCCCGGACAGGACAGTCACTGTTCACAATCTGGCAGAGAAGGGCCTCCCAGAAACTGCACACACCCCATCCCAGGTTTTAGTTCTGCCCTCAGGTCAGTGAGGACCAAGAACCAAGCTGTCCATCCACTCCGCACCCACTCTTCTCCCTGGAGGACCAGCATTCTATCATTCTTAGCAAAACCAAAAGGCAGGAGCAGCAAGAGAAGGTCCTCAGTGTGACAGGGGTCTCACCCTCCCAATTCCTGCTCTCAGCACAGCCATGCTGAGGTTCTATGCACAGATTGCTGAACTTTCATTGCTGATTAGCCCCCAGGTGCCCACTAGGAAGTGAGGGCCCAAATGCAGGAAGACGGCTTGAGCCAAGCCATGAGCATCAGGGGGTCATGACACAAAGTGCCCCGGGCTCCCTGCATGCTCCTCTCCAGAAACACGAAAACCCAAAACCTGAAGCGACAGCCTTCGTCACTTCTCCACTTCTCCACTTCTCCATGTACAGCTGTGCCATGTCCCCTGACTGGCAGCTCTCTGCAAGGCTGTGGTCTTGCCTGGGGAGAAAGGTGGCAGCTGTTTTAAGGTACACAGGCAGCCACCAACAAACAGAAGCTTCACACCTGGACATGCAGAAGGGATAGGTAGTAACAACTCTAAGAATATGCCAGCCCATGAAGGAAAATTGTTGCAGAAATTCACAAAGCAAAGAGAAAGGGCAACCATGTTCTTTCTGGGTGGTTTATATTCCAGAAAGCCCCTCAGGTCCTTGCTGCAAGATAGCAACCACCCAAAGGGAGGGGGAGGGGGAGAAAGCTGGCTTACGTGGGGCCATCGGTGATGAGGGCCAGGATGTGGCTCATGTCCACTGTGTAGGTCTCCAGGTCAGGGTAGGGCAGGCTGTGGGGCTCCTGGCGCTCCAGCATCTGCTTGTTGTCATACACAAAGAGGATGCCCCCCCGCATGCAGACCAGGTACCCCAGGTTGGGGGGTGCATCCTCCAGGCAGTAAGGGTCCTCCTGGGGCAGTGGGGGAGGGTGGAAGTCTGCAAAACAGAATGGAATGATGGCCAAGCACTCCTGACCTTGTGAACTTATGTGGGCTCAGAAGTTCCTTCTGGGTGAGCCTGCCTTGCTGTCCTATCTAAAACCCAACCACTCACCTGCCCTGACACCACATGTCCCCTTCACTGCTTTATTTTGTCTCCTTAGCACCTACCCCTGTACAAAATCATTGTACTTCTTATCTTGGGTATTACAGATCTTCTCTACTCAGAGTAGACTCTGCATGCAGACTGCGATTTTAATTTGTGCTATATTGCTAGAACAATCCCTGGCTCATGGCTGGTACTTCAACAATTCTTTTTGGTTTAAGTGAAATGGGCTTCTGCTCCCTTGGGCCTGCAGGGCCCCGGGAATGTTAGGAAGGGCAGCTGTGTCTTCTCCTGATAGAATAGACAGCAGTGGGACTGCCCAGTGGGAATAATTGTCCCTGTCCTCCCAAATCTTCCTGAGCCCATGGCAGCCGACAAGCTGGATGATGAAGACACCCATCCCCACCGGAGCATAGGACAGAGAGCTTGTCTCCCACACAGCGAATAGGAAGGACAGAACTGTCTGTCCCCATGGCTGTGACCTAAGCCAACCCCCAGGAAGCAGAAAATGCCTTTTCCTATTTTCCAGCTATGAGACTCTGAACAAGCTCCTTTACTTCCCCAATCCTATCCCTTCATCTCACGATAGCACCCCCTACTTTCACAAGTGGTTGTGAGGCCTGCAAAAGTGTACACAGGAAAACTGCCAACAGCCATGCCTGCACTACTACAGACAGTCCCTGACTTACAATGGTTCAATTTAAAATTGTTCTACTTTGACTGTGAAAAGGTATAACCATATAATCATGTTGCTTTTCATTTTCAGAATAGCATTCAATAAATTACATGAGATATTTGGCACTTTCTTGCAAAACAGGCTTTAAGTTAGATGATCTTGCCCAACTATAGGCTAATGTAAGTGCTCTGAGCACACTTAAGGTAGGCTAGGTACAGTAAATGCATTTTTAGCATAGGGTGGTGTGGTGGATTGACTAATGGTCAACTTGTAATGCCCAGCTGAACTGAATCAGCGTGGTCTGGGCATGGAAGATCCACCTGAAGATTGTTACCAAAAGCCATAAAAAGAAAACTGGAAGGGAAGATCTTGGCCAGTTGATTTGTAGGAGAAGCTTGCTGCGGATGGTTTTCCTGATGTAAACTAGGATGTTCTCATCGGAGGAGGAGCATGGGGCCTTGCTGTTGCTGGAAATGCCTGCTGTTTTCGTCAGGGGACCCCTGATTTTCACTGTGAGCATCACTTCCCGGCTCCAGTATGGATCCCTCAGCTTGGTGGCACAAATCCTTCATCTCACCAGTGTAGATTTTCTGGCTTCCACCACTGGCCTTTGGGCCTTCCAGGTGCAGATCCTCAATACGCACAAGCACGACACATTGCCGTGGGCTCTAGGCCACTGGCTGGACTCGAGGAGGACATTGCCTTGAACTCTAGGTCTTCAGCTAGACTTGTGTGGGAAACTGCTGCAATCTAGGTCCTCAGTTGAATACTTTGGGCTTCTAGTGTGTGGTGAATCTCTTGCACTCCTTTGCATTTAAATCTTGGGTAATTATCATAAAATAACCTATAAGTTTTGTGTCCTGTATTTAATGTATTCCCTTGCCCAATCCTGCTGACTACAACAAGTGGGTTTATCAGGGTGAACTCCATCATGAGTTGAGGAGCATCTATATTCTTATTATTCTCATACCAGCTGTCTCTGGCTCTTGATGAGCTCTGCCTCCAGCCAAGGATGCAACAGTACAGAATTTCAACTCTCCGCAGATGAGACAACACCATACAGGCCCAGCAGCCCAGCAGCCACCCCAGGTGGAGGAACCCTCTGGCTCCCTGTCAGGGAAGCAGGGCAGGCTGACCTGCCTGGCATCCTCCCTCAGTACCCAGAAGAGATGTGAAGGGTGTCAGAGCAGAGCCAGGGACTGATGTCCCCCATCAGGCACAGCCACAGGCCAGCTCAGAGGTTCTTACATTGCCCCTGGGGACTGCAAGGGGCAGGTGGTTGCAGAGGCCCAGGTGATGCCACAGGCTGCACACAGAGGTTGCTGCTCTGCTTCACCACACAGAAGGCAGGACGCCAAGTCCTTGGTCTATATAAAGTCGACATTTGACCGTCATTCCTGTCTGTCCTTGTCAGACAGGAATTACTGTACTGGCATCAACTTCCTTTGGACAGAGAAGGAAATGACCCAGAAAGGCTGAATTTACCCAGAGCCCTAGGTGGTAACAATACTCAAAGTGTAGGACTCAGAGCTGCCTGGAAGCCAGGGATAGGGACAACCTGGTACCACCACAGGTCAAAGGGTGGCCAGGGTCCTGGACTGCGGTGCAGACCTCCAGGGCCTTATCCACCCCTGCACCAGCTTTCAGGAGTAAGGTTTCCCTTTGTCCTCATTTCTCTGACTTAACTTACAGTCTCTACTACTCCTAGGTCCTTCACGGGCCCAGTGGATTCCACCAGCAAGCCACCCTGCCCTCTCTCAGCTCCCCTCCCTGAACTCTGTAGCCTAGATGTAGCTGCCATTTACTGAACACTCTAGAGGCCAGCACTGCACTAAATACTACACACACACTCGCCTAACTCCCCTCCTCTAGTCTCCCCAAAGAGACAGTGATTATTAGTCTTGGATTTTACAGGTTGCAAAACTGAGATTTAGAGAAATATCTTGACCAAGGTCCAAGAAATTGGCAGGCCCTGGGTATGAATGCAACTGTGTTTGACTCCAGACCCTATTTCTGCTGCCCTGGGAACATGCCTTCTGTAAGTATCTCACCGGAGCCAGGCCATCCTACCACCAATTCAGCATTTATTGTTTGATTGTATTGATTTAAATATCCCACATGAGTCTCCCTGGCAGACTCCCGTGATCAGGGACTGTCTTTCCTTTCTCTCTCCTAATTTCTACAGCTCATTACACACAGCTGGGCACAGAGTACACACAAAACCAACCCTGGGGGCATCAGCAAACCTCAGAGTAGAAGAAGCTGACACAGAGTCCCACACCTAAAAACACCAGTAGGGGAAACACATTTAGTCAATAAAACATCTCCACCAACTCTTGAGCCAAGCCCATACTTAGGACCCCACTTGCAGCCAGAACTCCATACCCGGGAAACCCTCGTCCAGAAGTGCAGCATTAGCCACCCCATGACCTAGGTACTGGGCCGTGGTCCGTGGAAAGCGGTGGTAGGCGAGCCGTGCATACTTCTCCCGGATCATCAGGGCCTTGGCTAGGCTCTTGGCAGCCTGCTCATAGTCCTCTACAGTGATCTGCAGGAGGGAAGTGAAAGGGTTCACACAGCAGGCCTAGGTTGCCATGCTAGAAAGATCTACTTGTTAAGCCTGACCCTTGGCTAGCACCTGAGAAGCTGGATTTTGCAGGACTCCCATCCTGACAAAGAAGAATGGCTCACTGTCTAAACTGTTCATACCAGCAATATGGTTTATGCCGGACACCTGATTTCCTTCTAGGAGCCTAGACTTTGGAGATGTGCTATGAAGTGTGTGACAGACCCAGTAAAAGCCTTGGATTCTGCATCTCTAATGAGCTCCCCTGGCAGGCAGCACTTAGTCACAACTGGATGCTGACAGTATTCAGTATGCTCTGGTGGCTCCACTGGGAGAGGACCCTTGGATGACTCCAGACCTCACCTCTGTGCTGACCAGTCTTTCTCCTTGGCTGGTTTGCTCTGTGTCCTTTCACTGTGATAAATCACAGCTGTGAGAACATCTAGCTGCTGAGTCCTGAGAGTGCTAACAAATCACCAAACTTGGCGGTGGTCTTGGGACCCCAATATAGGAGACAAAAGAAAAGAGTCAGGGTTGCTGGGAGATAGATAGACACTCAGGGCTGCATATCCAGAGACCACCCCCACCCACAGCTGCTGATTAAACCACAAGCCTGCTGCTGCCCCCCAGAACCCAAAGAGACAAAGCCTGACTCCTACTCCTGATGGAGCACCATCATATTGTGTTGAGAAAATCTGTGGGTCCTTCAGATGTTAAAACAAACAAACAAACAAATAAATAAATAAGAAAACTTCTACATGCCCAACACAATGCTTCATCAACCCCTGGCTGACAAACACCCCTTATGGTCATGTGTTATGTGCAAGACCTTCCCATATGTGAACCCTCTCATTTCACTCCATACCGCAATCCATTTGTAAAAATGGAGAAACTGAGGCACATAAAGGATCAATCACTTGCCAGAAAGTCACAAAGATCTGACTGAGTCCCATAGTCCAAGAATGTTCTGCTTTCCCATAGCTGCCTTATGTTCAAAGATGAATGAGGCATATGCTCACCTTCCAATGAGCCCATTAACTGTAGTTGGTTTGGCAAGGATGTCACCGAAGTCTGAATGAGCTTGGGGAGACAAACAGGCAGGCAGGACAGCGAGAAGTGACACAGAAAGGGAGGTGCAAGATGCTGGGGGAGCACAGAGTAGGGAGGGCTGGGACTTTCCTCTTTTGTCTTAATAAAATAATCATGTTTAGTTTTGAAATATTGTAGACACACAGACAAGCACTGAAGGTAATATAACAGACACCAGCATCTACCTTCCAGAGCTAACAATGTTCACATTTTCATAATCGTTTCAGACATTTCACAAGTGCAAAGCAATTAATCATCACAGAGACAGCTAGAAATCTACCTTTCTGTCTCCTCCACCCCACTCCAGCCTCAGAGGGAGGAGGACGCTGGCCTTGGTATGTATTCATCATTCCCACTCATGTTTTTATACTTTTACCAAATAGTACTCTGCTTTCTGTAAAGCCAGATGCTTCTCTTTCTTGCCTTCAATGTCCCCACAAGGGTGGTTAAATCCACTTTACATCCCCATGGGATGGCCTCTGAGAGTGACAGGAATGGGTAGGCAGGCACAATCATCTTCAACAAAACCACATCCCCACTCACAGCAAAGCCAAATGCTTTCTCTGAAGAACTAATGGACTCAGCGTGATAAGAGGCACAGGCTCCCAGGGGAGCAGCGCCCAGCAGCCAGGCTCATAGGCACTGCAGACCCCCTGGCTGGTGGCAGACCCTGTGGTGCCAAGGGGATCTGCAAGGTCAGCCTACTTCTCACTAGTTGCCCAGGGCCAGGGGCTCCTTCCCCAGCATGTGCCAGACTGGCAGAAAGAAGAGAGGTAACTGTCCAGGGCCAAGTCCACTCACAGCCGGCCCACCTCTGCTCCCCCTTTACACCATTCTGCCTAAAGGTGAACATCGAGGCTTGGCCAGGGCACTGATCTTCAGACAAAGCCTGCATTGTTTCCCACCTAATTCCCATCCACAGGAAGGTAACACATTCGTGGCACATCCACACAGCGAAATACCATGCACTTGTAAAAAAGAACAAGGAAGTTCCTTGTAGATTAATATGGTGTTATCTCTAAATGGACTACAGTGGGGGGGGGGCTTGTTCACTTTCTAATCAAAACCATGTCTTCCTGGTTGAGGGGATCTAGCCTGTATTTAGAGATACTAACCTTAAGCTACCTCAACAAGGATTGATTTTGTACTAACCAGTCAGCCCCATGACTTTGAACCCATTAGACTTCTGGGGACACAGAGGCCCAAGCTGGCACCCTTCTCAGTGGGCTTGCAGGGACAGAGGGCAGTATTCTGGGCCTGGAGAATAGTGTGACAGCTGCAGCTGTGGGCCTCTGACAGGGAAGGGGGAGCCCCTAGGCACCCCATCACCACAGCCCTGCTCTTCAGTGTCCTGTGCCTCCTCTCCACCACCTCCAGACATCCACAGGCCGAGCCAGGCTTCAGGGTGGGCATGACCAGGGGCCCCCAGCCTCGGCATCCAAGGCCCACTCCATACTCCCACAGATGCCTTACCCCAGCACAGTAATCTCCGCTGATGGTGACCCGCTGGTACTCGGGCATGGCATAGGGTGCAGGTGTGGGCTGGGAGGTGGCTCCATAGACCACAGGGGTCACGGGAGACATGGTTGGGCTGGACGCTGGGGTACCCTTCCAGTCTTGCTGCGTCGGCATTTGCAGGGACAAGGACTGGGATCGGATCATCTTGAAACTTTTCTTTCTAAGAGCCAAGGACAAGGAAAAGGGGAGACATCAGCAGCTGTTTGGGATGAGTGATGGAACAGCCTTTATTAAGTACCTGGCAGGAGTGCTTGTGCTGATTAATCACTGCTGCTGGTCCTACCATTAGATTCTAATTTGCTATGCCTTCCTCTTACACACATCTCTCCATGTGACACAGCACAACCCTCAGACACCCACACCTGTGGTCACCATAAGCTACTGTGGACTGTTTACACATGCCACAAGGGACATTAGAGTAGGAAGAACCAGAGACAGACAGATGCAGACCACACCAATAAGGACTCTACCACCACAGCACAGGGATGTGAGGGGGACAGCAAATCAACCAGGCTTTCCTCAGGTGTGGCCAGCATGCTACCTTCACTCACCCAGCATATGAACAGTCTCAGCAAACAGGATCACAGAGACAATCACAACATATTCCACAGGGTTCAAAATGTTGGGGATTGGTGGCAGAGGAGACAAGGATGATCAATTAGTCCAACCTCCTTGTTTTATAAATAGGAGTCAGGGACCCAAGATGGAAAGGAGTTTAGACAAGTCACACAGCATGGTGCTGCTCTCCCCAGCCATCAGCCCTGCTACTCCTTCCTCAAGCCTGACATCTGCCATCCTGGCAGCAGCTGCTATAGTGGAGACAGAACTGTACCTCTGTTATAGGACAGGGGATGATCAGCATCGACCCCAAGTCTGGACCTTGGGACCCATCACTCTGGCAGCAAAGAGGATTCAGTCACTCTTGGGCACAAGGTTGGCTTAAAGCACTGTAAGCTCATGGTGATTTGCAAGGCTGATTTGTGATGACTTCGCATTTCTCATTAATAGAACAGTAATGTTTCACTTGATGTCACTCCAAGTCCTGGAATTCCCAGGAAGGAAACTACTCAGCACTGAGGTGAGGCCGTAGGCACCACCCTCCCATGTCTCTTTCTGCCTCCAGTGGAAGCCAGAACCCCACCCCCACCCCACAGTGTCCAACACTAGAAACCAACTGACCACCTGCCCCACCTTGTGCCACAGGGTACAGCAGCTTCCTGGGTATTTATTGTACCACAACCAGGGCCTATAGCCACTAGCAAAGGAATCAGTGCCAATGGTGACCAAAACCCATCAAACCCTCCTCTTCTCCAGACACCAGTGACACAAAGTGTGTGGAAGTCAGTCAGACCCTGAATGGGCCTCAGGGCCTACACAGGAGCTACTCTCTTCCTGCTGGCTCCTTCCTAGGTCTGCTCACTGTATCATTTTCAGGGACCACAGTTCACCTACCCTATTTATCCTCCAACTGCATGCCATGGTCATCTGGTTCTTCCTTGCCTATGGTAAGGACTTGTGCTATCACCACCGAGAGACAGGGCTGCTTACCCCTGAGAGGTGGGGCAGCCCTTCCCCAGGGTCTGTCTTTGCCTCACTGGCCTGCATAACAGGCACCATAGGCTGCTTCAGGAAACATCCAGACTCCAGCAGCCCCAGCCCTGGCCATCCCCAAACTGCCCTCCATCCCATGGAGCTGAGCCAGCATCCTGCCCCAAGAAAGATGCCAACTCCTGCCAGCCCATCATTCCTCAGAGACAGATTCACCTGAGCCATGAGGGTCTCCCTTGGACATCTTTTGGACATTCACACCTAGAAGAAGAGCCATTGCTTCGGGCTTTTGACACTGACAGGCTCCCTGGGGTCCCCTGAGACTTCTGTGGCTTTTGTGTCACTCTTGTGCCTGTCAGACATTGTTTTTATCTCTAGGCCAACCTCATCACTGCATGCCTCTGCCCATGCTGCCTGAAGTCTAGTCCTACCAAGGAGAAGTGATAGGTGACTTCTAAGGTGAGTAGCGGGTAAGACAGGTTATAAATAATAACCACAACCAAAAAGCTAGAAGGTACATAAGCCAAAGGTTTGCCAGGCTTGACCTGTATATCATTCTACCCCACTGAAGAGGCCAGTACCTGGCAGCTGGTGTCCAAAGACTTCTCCTTCTCACAGACATCCACTGTGGCTCCAGTCTTAGTCTTCAGGTGAATTCCAGACTGCTGCATGCAAACAGTCATTGGCTGTGCACTCAGACTTGCAGAGACAGAGCAAGGTTTAACAACCAACAGCTCACCATGACCAGGGACTCAGAATCACCAGACGTTAACCACCGAATCTGTAGCCCCCGAAATTGGAAAAGCTTTTTTCTATTACTGTATATCGAATTGCCACAAACTTGGTGAGTGAAAACAACACCCATTTATGAGGTGACAGTTTTGTAGGTGAGAAAGACTGGCAGGATTTAGCTGGCTTTATGCTCAGGGTACCAAAGGGCCAAAATCACTATGTTGTCCACACTGCGTTCTTGACTGGGAACCCTGGGAAAGAATTCACTGTCAGGCTCATTCAGGTGCCTAGCAGAACACAGTTCCATGGGTCTGTAAGACTGAAGTCTCCGGTTCTTTGCTGGCAGTGGCCCAAGGATCATCTCAGCTCCTATAGGTGGCACTCCGATCCTTGCACATAGCTCTCATCTTCAAAGCCAGATTTGAATCTCTCTGACGTCCTCCTCTACTCTCATTCTGAGAAAGCTCCCAGTTTTGAAGGGCTCATGTGACAACCCCAGCCACACCGCCCGCCATAACCTCCCCATCTTCAGGTCAAAAAAGTGACAGGAGTGACAGCTCACACTCACAGTGTCTGGAGATTCAAGAGTACATTTTCAGTTGGGGCATTTAAAAAATCCTGCCTGCCATAAGCATGTATCTAGCATCCAGGCTATACTACAGATACACTACAGAAGCGGGCAATGGGGCTGAGTGTGTGTGTGCACAATGCATGTGTATGTGTGCAACCACACATGTGTCCCTCTTCCCTCTCAAAGCTATTTGAAGCCCCACATAAGTCACAATGAAAGAGAAGGACACAAGGGAAGTTACCACAAGCTTTACCTGAATTATAGAACCCTGGAGTCTATGTACTGGGGTCTCTGGACTAGAGGTCACCTTTAGGACCCCAAATACTCTCATTACACCAATCACATCATATGTGAACAATCTGTGGAATAATCTGTGTCCATCTCTGCCCACACTACCTACCCCTAGAGTAGGGGTTGTATTCGATCTACCTGCTTTTCTCCAAGGTCTGGCCCATGGCAGTTTGTGGAATGGCTAACTGGGCACCTCTGAGTGCCTGGTGCCTCTCCCTGCCTGGCCATTCCCTGGACAGATGCAGGCAGTGGGCTTGGGAAGGAAGATAACACTTCTCTCTAGAAAGAAGAGCAAAGGTGGAACCCACCAAGGGTCCTGCACCTCGGCTCGGTATATGAGTCAGATGTTATGGGAAGGCAGTGCCTGGTTCCCAGGCTCTGAGGAGGGTGGGGAGTGGGCAGGGTAGGAATGGGGACAAGGGCCATAGGGCAGGTGGGGGCACTGGACAGGTGCTGGGAGACAAGAAGCTGTAATAACTGCCCTCGTGACCAGATCACCTCCTGGTTTTGAGGGCCATACCAGCAAGAAAGTCCCTGTGGTCCAAGAGAAGTGGCCACCCAGGGCATGATGAAACTGTTCCAAGCCCAGGCCCTCAGATCTGGCCTGGAGCTGGTGTCCTCAGAGTCCCACACCCTGCCAGGTCCTTGGCAGCTGGGCACTTCTGCCAGATGGTTGCCTTCCTCCAGCGTGTGGGTGGAGGAAGGAGGGGCGGGCCAGCTATGGCAGGCTGAGCTGGTTAACCCAGTGGCCCCGCCTAGCACGAGGTGTGATAGGTGGGATTGTGGACTGGCAGTTCTGGGCCATCATGAGGAAGTGCTTCCTAACAGTACCAACAGATCAGGTTTTATTCAACTCTGTTTGTGTGTTTAGCTCAAGACTGGCCCAGAGCAAGAACTCTGTGTTTATTGAACACAAGATTGAATGCTGCTATCCTATGGAGGAATATAGAGGGCTCTCTGTCCCCAGAGGTGCCAAACAAAGACTGCTTTAGAAAGAGATTCTTGAAGCCCTTCAGGCATAAAAAGAGCCCCATCATGCCTCCCTTAGCTCTGGGTCACCTGCTGCTCCTGCTCCAACCTCCCTTTACCCTCTGCCCATGAGCATGGGTGCTCTCCATTTGTTTCCCCACCAGCCCCGGCTTCCATCCCCTTTTCCCCAGCCCTTCCCAGCTGCCCTTCCTCTCCAAAGACCCCAGAGGTCACAGTGAAGTATAATCCTTAATGCTTTTTACAATCTCTAGTCTTAAAATAGATAAACTGGCTGTTTCAAATAAAGCTCCTTTGTCAATGGCCGTGAATTTTTTAAAAAAGAAAGAAAGAAATCAGTTACTCACCCTGATTTAGGAAGTTTCATAAAATAAAATGATTTAATACTTTGGCTGTGCTATGTTCAATGAATAACAAATATCTGTTTATGTATTTCACCCAAAATATTCTCAGGGAAGGAGCTGTCCTGAAGAGCCAAATTTTTCAGTAACTAAGTCTATCCCCTTCATATGTTTAACACTATTTTAGTCTAGCATTCTTTAATAAAATACGTAAGTCCTGCACTCTCAACCAGAGCACACTGAACATAATTTAAAGTTCTCTGCATGACTCAGGGTCACCCTTGGGTTATTCAGTCACAATCTGAGAAGCATTTTGTCCCTAGACTGCTGTACTTTAGATTCTGTGTCTGCTTTTCATAATTATCCTGTTTCCTCCCTCACTGTTGACTGTCAGATAATAACAATAACAAAAACAGGAATAGAAATGGTGCTCCAAGCATTGTGCTAAGCATTTTATGTGTCTTTGCTCATTTAA